GAGTGCCAAATATTCAGATTAGCCTCCCATCAGTCAAGAATTCTCACATCTGTAATTGAGCTGGAAATTGAACAGCTGGTTTCACCAGAGGAGCATGAGAGGCAATTGTTTTAATGTGAAACACCAGACTTGATTAACACCAGCAGGCCATGATGGGATATTAGTCCTGTTAGAATGTTCCGTCTTTCTCCCCTATCTGGGTTTGGACTGGATAAGAAAATATTCCAAAGTAGCTGTTATGTCAACCTAATGCTTCATCCTCATAAAACTGAACATTATTAATGGTGGCATGGAGATTTTGATAAGATACAAATGGGTAAAGTAGAAAGAAAAGTGGGATGAAATAAATTTGACAAACTCTTTTAAGCTTGCATTTTAATTGTCCATATTACAAAAACTGCATCATTTCACTGAACTTTATCAACATAAATTAAAGATAAATTAATACATGATTGAGGAAACCAGAGCTTTGCTTTCCTATCTTTAGGCTAAAGTGGACGGAAGTACATATCAGTTAATATGCAACACGTTGAAGTGTTGAATAAAAACCGAAAGAACTGCAGATACTGTAAATCAGAAACAAAAACAGAAATTGCTGGAAAAGCTCAGCAAGTCTGGCCACATCTGTGGAGAGAAATCAGAGTTAACAATTCAGGTTGAGTGACCCTTTCTCAGTTTGAGGAAGAATTTTAACTCCGATTTCTCTCCACAGATACTGGCAGACCTGCTGAGCTTTTCCAGCCATTCCCGTTTTTGTTTTTGACATTGAAGTGTTCAATCAGCCACGATTGTTTCAAATGGTGGAGCAGCTTTGATGGGCTCAATGGCCTACTCCTATTTGTATGTTTCTATACTCCTAACAATGAAGGGGAATTTACAAGTGGGCAATAACATTACTCTTGTCTGTGTGCTGATGAAGCTTTTAAGGAAACCACACTAATTTACTACTAACAAGAAATATTGTTGCGCAAATAGTTGGCCAACATTGGTGTTTTTGTATAAAGTTGTAAATTAAGTTTTGGCCAAACAGAATCAACAATTAAGATTCTTTAATATTCCCTTGCACTAATAAATGAGGATATAGGACCATAATTGTAACAGCAGAAGTATGCCATTCAGCCAATTGAGTCTGCTTTGCCAGAGAAAGTGGTGGAGATTGGTACAATTACAACATTTAAAAGGCACCTGGATAGTTACATGAATAGGAAGGGATTAGAGGGATGTGGGCCAAATGCTGGCAAATGGAACTAGATTAATTTGGGATTTCTGGTCGGCATGAGCGAGTTGGACCAAAGGCTGTGTTTCTAAGCTGTACATCTCTATGACTGTATGACTCTATGGTTGATCTGATCATCTTCAACTTCACTTTCCTGCCTTATTCCCATAATGCTTGATTCCATTACTGATTAAAAATATGTCTTTCTCAGCCTTGGATATATTTAATAACCTAGCTTTGACAGCCCTCTGCGGTAAAGAATTCCACAGATTGAACATCTTCTGAGAGAAAGAATTCTTCCTCATCTCTGTCTTAATTGGACGATTCCTTACTCTGAGATACATGCCCAACTTATTCAATATCTCCTCATAAGCAAATCCCTTCAGACCTTTATCAACCTAGTGAACCTTCTCTGAACTGCCTGTATATTTTTTCCTTTGATAAGATACCAATACTATTCAGAGTATTCGAGCTGTGGTCTGACTAGTGCTTTGTATAGTTTTAGCAATACTTCCCTATTATTATACTTCATTCCCTTTGAAATAAAGGCCAACAGTTCATTCACCTTCGTTACTACCCACTGGACTTAGATGCTGGTTTATTATGATTCATGCATGAGGAACCACACATCCATCTGGTTGTAGCTTTCTGCAGTCTTCCTCCATTAAATGCATAAAGTGCATAAACGCATATTATATTCCATCTGTCATGTTTTTGTCCACTTGTTTAGCCTATACCTTGGTAGACTCTTTATGTCATCCTCACTAATTGCCTTCCCTCCTATTTTTGTGTCATCAGCTTCCATTATTATACTCAACTTATATCATCCAAGCTATTATACATTCTGGCACCAGTACTGATCCCTGTAGCACTCCATTTTGTTACAGGTTGCCATCCTGAAAATGTCCCTTTGTAGCAACTTGTTGTCTTCTATAGTTATCCACTTCTCTATCCATGCTAATATACTACCCAAAACACCATGAGCTTTTATGAAATAGCCTTATGTGTGATCCTTCATCAAATACCTTTTGAATAGCCAAATATATTAAACCTATTGGTTCGTTTTGCCTGTCCTGCTTGTTGCCTCCTCAAAGAACTATAATAAATTTGTCAGGCATGACTTCTCCTTCATGAAGCCATGCTGACTCTGCTTGATTTAATTCTGTTTCTAAATGTGCTACTAACACCTCCTTTATAACAGACTCTAATATTTTGCCAATGGCAGATATTAGCTAACTGTCCTATAGTTAGTCTTTTCTGTTTCCCTCTCTTTTTGAATAAAGTGTTACATTATTTTCCTGAATCTAAGAATTCTTGGAAGATTATGACTAGTGTATCCACTGCATCTTTATCCACTTCCTGTAAAATTCCACAATGCAACCTATCAGGTCCAAGAGACCTATTGGCTTTTAGATCAATTAATTTCAGAAGTACTTTTCTCTAGTGATATATATTGTATTTATTTCCTCTCCTCTTTTGCCCTTTAAATATTTTAAAAATTTGGAATGCTATTAGTATCTCTACACTGAACACTGATGCAAAGTACTTATTCAACTCCTTTGCCATTGATGACATGATGTCTAGGTGCTGGTGGTGGACTGGGGTGGACAAGATCAGAAGTCACACAACACCAGGTTATAGTCCAACAGGTTTATTTGATATCACAGGCTTTCAAAGCATAGCCCCTTCATCAAGTATGCTCCGAAAGCTTGTAATTTCAAATTAATCTGTTAGAATATAACCTGGTGTTGTGCAACTTCTGACTTCATTCTCTAAAGGGGCATATAAAAACTGAAAGAACAGCGGATGCTGTAAATCAGGAACAAAAACAGAAGTCACTGGAAAAGCTCAGCAGGTCTGGCAGCATCTGTACAGAAAAATCAGAGTTAACATTTCGGGTCCGGTGACACTTCCTCAGAACTCCTCCATTGCTGCCAGACCTGCTGAGCTCTAAGGGGCTATACTCGTTTTAGCGTCTCTTTTCTATTTTTAAAGAAAAATTAAAGAAGATCTTATTGTATGCTTTTATATTATATAATTTGTCCTCATAGTTTATTTTCTCCTTTTTTTGGTCATCTTTTGTTGGATTTTAAAGCTTCCTTACTTGCCACCAATTTTTGCCACATTCTGTGTTTTTTTTTCAATTTGATACTCTCTTAACTTCCTTAGTTAACCATGATCAGTTTTTACCCCTTCCTAGATTTCTTCTTTCTCACTGAGATATAAACTTATTGTGAGTCTTGAACATTTTCTTAAACATCTGCCATTGTTCTTCAGCTGTCTTTTTTGCTAAACTTCTTCCTCTGTTCTCTCTGCTAGCTCACCCCTCATCCATATGTAATTGCCCATACTTAAGCTTACAGCAGATGTTTCTGACCCAAGTTTGTCACTTCCAAACCGAATGTGAAATCCTACCATGTTGTACTCAATATTTCCTAGAGGATCTCTTACTCTGAGATCATTTATTAAACCTGCTTCATTACGCATTACTAGATCCAAAATAATCCAATCCCTGGTTGGATCCAGACGTATTGTTCTGAGAAACTATCCCAAATACAATTTACGAATTCTTCCTCATGGCTACATTTGCCGATTTGATTTTTTTCACAAACTACATAAATATTAAAGCCATCCATGGTTAATGTACTGCATTTTTTACATGCTCTCATTATCTCATGATTTATTCTCTGCCCTGCTGAAAAGCTGCTGCTAAGGGGCACATAGATTATTCCCACCAGTTCTCTGTTCCCCTTGTTATTTCTTACTTTTTAGAGGCAATCATACTGAATCATATAAGAGTCTGAGGGGGCTTGAAAGGGTGGATGCTGAGAGGATGTTTTCCCTCATGGAGGAATCTAGAACCAGGGGCACAACTTAAAAATAAGCTATCTTCCATTTAAGACAGAAAAAGAGGAAATTCTTCTCTTGGGGGGTTGTTAGTCTTTCGAATTCCCTTCCACAGAGAGCAGTGAAAGCTAAGTCATTCTATACATTCTAGGCTGGGTAGACAGATTTTTGATCCAATGGATTTGAAGGTTATGGAGACAGTTAGGAAAGTGGAGTTAAAGCCACAATCAGGTTAACAATGGTCATTAAAAAAAAACCAAAAGAACTGTGGATGCTGGAAATCAGAAACAAAACAGAAATTGTTGGAAAATCTCAGCAGGTCTGGCAGCATCTTTGGAGAGAAATCAGAGTTAATGTTTCAGGTCTGGTGACCCTTCTTCAGTTTTGAAATGCTAACTCTGTTTTCTCTCTACAGATGCAAAAAAGACTGCTAAGATTTTCCAGCAATTTCTGTTTTGTTAACAATGGTCATGTTTTGTGACAAAAGAAGGGTCAATAGGTCAAATAAGCTACTCCTGCTCTTATCTCTTATAAACTTCATATTTCTTAGAATAATAGTTCTTCACTGTAAATCACCAAAAAGTTATCATCTTCTGAGTATCTTCTGATTGCAATAAAGTGAGAAAATGAAATCTGTGACTTCTCTGTTATGGTCAATGATTGTCCATGCTTATTGACAGGGTGCTTCTGGTGGAATGGGACGCTCCATACAATGTTCATTGTCTCTTTCTCTCTCCTATCTATTCCAATTTAGGTAATGATTGCTGTGAGGTTCCCATTTTCACAGGTACAAACTGTTGTAACTGATCACACATGTGGCCAGCAGCTTTGAGTGCTACATAGTGCTGAGACTTTAACTTCCGTAAAGCAAATGTTTTAACGGCTAAAACACTGGGGAGACTACAGGCCTGATGTTAAATAACATCACACCATAGCCTTCAAAGCTGAACCATAAGATTTATTCAAACTCTTTAGTCCTCAAATATCTCTCCAGTGTAAGGACTCAATGTGTCAGCACACTATCTTTCAAGTACATCCAGTTACAATTTTCCTTCCAAATGTCAACTGTACTCATTTAAAACAATTTGTATAGTAGAGAATATTACATTGTGAATATAAATCTCTTTAAAAATCAAAGTAATTAATAAACAAAATCATAAGATTTGTTTTTACTTACAATATAAATTCTATAATAAGTAAAATAAAATACATAATTCATCAGTTTTAAAAATATACATAATATAAGAAATATTTATTTGTAATATATAAGTATATACAATAATCTCTAATACAATTAAATTACAAATTACCCAAAATGAATACCAGGCAAATAAATTATGCACACCATGAAATGCCAGACCTAATATTTACTTAGTGCATCTTCAGCAGTACTGCAGATGAGGTTCATTACATCAGAAGACAATTTCTCTACATTCTTCAGTGGCGTCCAAACAGAAAGTCTGCGAAGTCAGCAAATGTAAAGAACTATTAGTCATCATTCTCTCCACATTTTGAAATATAAATCCACACATTCTCATTGTATCATAATTACTAATCGCTGATACTGCCTTTTGAGAAATTACTGGAAAATAATCCATTACCTCCTAATCTGTAATATCACATTTATTTTAATTTGCACATGGGATGTTGCTGGCTAGGCCAGCATTTATTGACCGTCCGTAATTGCCCAGACAGCAGTTAAGTGTCAACTGCATTGCTGTGGGTCTGGAGTCACATGGAGGTCAAATTTCCTTCAGATATTCTTCCTTAAAACATATTTGAAACCAATTTTTTTTAAAGTGGCAATTGACAGTGGTTATACGCTTTTTATTTCAGATTTATATTGAATTCAAATTTTACCACCTGCTGTGATGGGATTCAAACTCATGTGCCCACAACATTTGCCTGGGGTTTTGGGTTACTAATCCAGTGCCATTACAACTGTGCTACTGCACCCCTCACTCCAGGCTAATATTGAATACCTTCTCAGGGCTTTGGTATGCCTGGGTCATAGGGAATCAAACCTACCTACGGAATGACCACTGGAGGTTGAACCTCAGAGAAACACTTTGAGAAAAAACCTACAAATGTAACAACCAAATCAATTAATCGTTTTCCTTAATGAATCTCCCTGGTACACATTCCTTTCTTTCTGGCTATCAACATCCTCAGTATTCAACAGCCACCCAGCACCTTTTCCTGCTTCTTGACAAAATTAAATTTTAGTCTGTCATTCTGAGCAGTCAGTAGATAGAAATTTATGTTACAGTCACAGTTTTCAAATCACTACAATTCCTGGTGTTTAGCTAGCACTACAGAGTGGGCCGCACATTATAAATTGGGACAAAACCATATTAAAGTAAAATAAAGAACTGCAGATGCTGGAAATCTGAAACAAAAATAGAAATTGCTGGAGAAATTCAGAAGGCTGGCAACATCTGTGGAGATATTTACTTCCAGACCTGCTGAGTATCTCCAGCAATGTCTGTTTTAATACCATATCAAAGTCGTTCAGTAATATAAAATGAAAAACAAGGAAGACATACAATTTATGTTGTATTATAGCTCATTCATTGTTATAATGTTGGAAATGAGACCGCCAATGTCGGCATAGCAAGCTTCAGCAATTAAATGACCAAGACATTTATTTTTACTCTTGGCTGAGGGACCAATGGAAGCTAGGATTCTCCTGCCATTCTACATATTGTCCCTGTCCACGAAGAAAATCACTTTTACATGTCGTCTGTAAGGAGCTTCCACCTGAACTTTTTTTTTGGCCTACCTATCTCCATGCAGCCTGTTTTTCCTCCCACTCAATCTTTTCTCTCTCCTTTCTCTGTTGCATTCGTGCAACATGGTTGGTCTATTCAGTTGAGCAAATCTTTATTGGATGGATGCGCTCAACATCTTTTTCTGCTAATCATATAAGTGAGTGATGAACGCGATTTGCAGATTTATGGAGAAAATTGGAGATAGAAATGAACTCTGGCTAAGTCCATATCAATATATTGACTAAACTGGGCCAATTCAGAAGAGGTTAACATGCTTATCTTATATTTAAAGTCCATAGGTTACTGAGACACAGTCATTTGTACTAATTCAGTCTGATGTTACTTCCTGTAAAAATATTTCCTCACAGCAGACAATGAATCCACCTCCTTTCTGCCTCCTAGCTGTTCCATACTGATGTATTTAACCAGAAACAAGGGTAAACTGGCAATGAGATAGGGCTGGAAAATATTTTAACATATGCAGAGGAGTCAGTAAGCATTTTTTAAAATTTCCTTTCTCTAGTATCCCTCCCACCCATCACATGCGATCATTCGATTAAAACTAGCAGTTCAGTTTTAAAGATGCAAGAACACAAACAATTTTTAAATCTGCTGCAGGAAAATAAGCTCAACCTTGGTTCTTTGTCCACTGGCAGTAATACAAAAAGATGATTGGGTAATTAAAAACTGAAAGAACTGCGCATGCTGTAAATCAGGAACAAAAACAACGTTGCTGGAAAAACTCAGCAGGTCTGGCAGCATCTGTGAAGGACAAAACAGAGTTAATGTTTTGGATCCAGTGACCCTTCCTCAGATTGGGTAATTGGTCAGGAGTTCCTCTAAATTTGATTGACCAATTTTCTCAGTAATTGTTTTGTAACTGCAGGAAGAAAACCATTTCAAAGGCAGCAATAAAACTTTTGTTAAGTATTGGACAGACCAGCGGGAGGTCTGAATAGAATATTTCTCGGCATTTTGTACAGTGTCAAGTAGACCTCTCTGAGACTGTTAAGGGAGTTTAGTGCTATGTCTCATTGGAACAGAGTTGTGAGTACCCACAGGTACTTCCGTAGAATATTTATAACAGCTGGGTACAAAAAAGTCTTTTATTTCTATAGCCTGGTAACATTCTGGTATACGGCACCACCCCACATATGCTGAGCAAATGATATTACTTGACAAAACACTGGTACTGCTGTTAAAATTAACATCAAAGCCACTGAGTGTAATGCCTGCAAAATAGCTCACATCGATTGCTAAATCAGATAAATAGGAAATTGCTGAACATTTTTCAATAAACAAAATGCAGACTATTCCATGGAACTGTTACCCCCGAGGATTATGTGCATACCTCTATGATACTCTGGGTTGACATTCTCGTATATTGGAAACAATGGATTTTCTTGTTCACCTCGTAGCTTTCTACTCCTTAAAACATCTCTTGTGCACAAATGTAAGTATGCATATTGACACTGGAATAAAAGTACAGGCATCAATGAACTTAGTTTCTCTCTTTGCTTTTTAATCCCCATAAAGGTTTTAAGTCATTTACTTGACACTTTGCATATTGCTTTAAGGCTGGCACTGAGACTTGATTATAGATAAATGTTACAGCTCATTCACAGGTTTCACACATAAAATATCAGCCCAGATTTTAAAAGCGTTTACGGCCTTCAAATCATATCTTGTCACATGGGATAAGTTCTGTCTGTTTCTATGAATTTTCAACTAATTGATTGATGGATCTTTCAGCAGAATGAAGGGAGATAATTACGATTGATATTCTTGTTTGTATTTATAATTCAGTTCTGTTCTTTTGTTGCAATTCAATATTAAACTTTTCTCTCTTCTTGGTTTTTCTTGGGTTTTTGCTATTTTAGAACCAAAAGGATATTTTCCCTCTCTTGAGTATTTTTATTGGAATAATTGTGGAAAATCCATTTGTGTTGATGTTATGGACTAGAAGCAGTAGCAAGGATATTGTGGGTCATGGCTTTTTGCAGTTCACATGATTAACAGAAGAGAATTTGCGTTGTTTGCATCATATTCCTCAGGATTTCCACACTCCAGAGGATAGCATGTGAACCTTTGGATCACTTCCTTGATAGCTGTCTTTGAAAATACTTTTCATTTCCCAAATGCACACAGTGTTTCTAAATTGATTTATTTGCTGAGTATCTATCACCTCTCTTGGATGGAAGAATACCAACATAAACATTACACTGTGAGGACATTCGCACTAAAATATGCAACCAGGTCCTAAAAAATTACCATTTTGTTTATTCTTGCCCTTCTATAAATATATGAGTCTATCTTTCTTGGGCCTTATGCCACATTTACATCATGTTCAGTAGGTTTAACAATAAATCCCATTTTGTGGCTGACACGTGTTTTCATTTGAACTTTGGACAGACATAAGAAATTTTTGCCTGAAGTACATGGATGTTTGATTGTGACATTCAAATAGCAAAAGGTTTGTAGAAGCCACAACCTCAAAAAGGTTGGGCACAAACCATGATAAACATCTACCAAACTGAAATGACTGAGCATGAGGACCACGCTGTTTGTTTCTCTTACATCATCTGGGTGTGGCAAATGTGATAGGGGTGTAATTCATGTTGCAAGGGAATCGTCACTACAGCTTATCATGGTAAGATTCATCTGATAGATTTGCTGCCACCATCCTCTGTCTTCCTAGTGTTCTATATGGCTTGCCCGGTCTAATATGCTAGAGGAAAACCACCTAGTAATCTAACAAGAAGAGGCTCCTGTCGTAAACAAACTAGTTCACTGTGTGATATTGGTTTGATATACATTGTTGCTGAGATTATGAGGCAGAACCTGATGCTAGATCTGCCTCCTACAAGATCCAAAATGGTTTTCCTGCTGGGTCCATGTGACATCATCATGTTGGGTGGTACTTAATGCATATCTCAGCATTAACCCTTGACTTTTAGACTTGAGGGTGGAGGCTATCCCCCAAGATTGAGGTAGGGCTACCTTAAGCCTATAGATTTGGTCTTGGTGTTCCTAAGGGTCATAAGGAACAGAGGAAGGAAGTTAGCTGACAGAAGGAAGATGAAACTTTACTAAAAACAGCTCAAGCATGACTGAGTTTGATCAGGGGTGTTTGAATGGAGGTCCATGGTGAGGGTGGGAGAGTCAAGATTAACCAAAGGCAGGCCACGGTTGATAGATGGAGGGTCAGGGTGAATGCTCAGCAAGTCAAGGGTGCTTTGGAAGTACAATGATTGAAGGAAACGGCTTTCGCTTTATGAATGTTGATTGCTTTTTCTAGGAAGCTTTTAGCACCACATGTACAACAAATTGCCCTTTGTACTTGTGGAAATGCAGCAACGGAACTGAGTCCAACAAACTTGGTTCCCGGGGGCTGTCAGGGTGTGTAGTGAGTCATGTCCAATCATCGAAGCTTTTGAAAATCGCATTTGAATTCTTTAAGGCCATCAGCATAGGATTATTCCCCATTCCATGGGATGGGAAGGGGCAAACATTTTCTTTCAGAAGATGATATGGGTTCAGCGACTGATTGCTATGATGTCCCCAAATAACTTTGTCATTTACAAGTAAGTGACTCTTGGTGTGGTCCATCTAGTTATGTGCCATTTCTTGGTGTTACTTTGGCACTTGGTTGCCACCGTTCTGACTTGCCTGACCCTGCCCTGTGTTGCCCTTCTGGTCATTGCCATACTTGGCACTGGACAATCCAGAGCTGGTTCCTCTTGTTCTCCACTGCAACTTTAAAAATATTCCACTCACGAGTCCCATTCTGTCTCCCGGAAATGAACTATGCCCAGAAGGTCAGTGAAGATCTGGCCAGCACAGTCAATTTGGCCTTTGGGTCCTCCTTCCTGACTGATGACTGTGGACCAATGGGGAGCCCACTGCTGGTGTGTCGACCATACCCTGGCCTCCATTCACCCCACTGGTGCTGGATGGCAAAATGGGGAGGCTGACCAAGGGTGGTGTTGTGTGGCTTGAATGTTACAAGGGTGATGGAAAGAGGATTGAGGATGAGGAGGAAAGGTTAAGTGACTGAGGGAAGGTGATAGTTTTCCGTTCTAGTGTCATAGTGTGAGTGCACAGGGACATAGTGATAAGAGCTGGAAAAAGACCAAACGATATGTGACTTAACTAATTAACTACAATGTAAAAATGGGTCATTTCCTTCTTATGTTACTTTCCAATTAATTCCCAATTATGTTGCAATTGTCTGCATCCAGAGTAATGTGCTCCTTCATATATTGAAATCTGGCACGTGGCGCTGTGGATAATTATTTAAATAAGATTATACTGGAGAACTGACTTTTACTACCATTATTGCCATCATAGTTAGATTTGCATCATTTAATATTGCCATACCACTACACAAGAATCTCACACATGCTGTCTGACTGAGGACCTCTTTCACAGTAAAGTCTACTTAAGATAACTTGAGACAAGTGTTAAAAGAATAACATGCTAGAATTAATTTAGATGTTGCAAGGCTAAATTACGCATGACAGAATTCTGTTACAGTGCTATCAAATTCCATTACCTCAGTTTGCACCATATGAACCCTGTGAAGCCTCAGGTCATAAACTGTTCCATAAATGTCGACAGAGTCTTTGTTCTCCAACTGCTGAAGGATTCTGTCTAAAGCAATAAATGTGCCTGTCCGACCAACTCCAGCACTGTGTAAGAAGAAAGAAAAATCTAAAATAAGAAGCAAATAAATAAGGAACAAAACGTATAGAATCATAGAATCCCTACAGTGTGGAAAAAGGTCCTTCGGCCCAACAAGCCCACACTGACCCTCAGAGCATCCCACCCAGACCCATCCCCCTCTAACCCACCTAATCTACACATCCCTGAACACTCGGAGCAATTTAGCATGGCCAATCCACCTAACCTACACATCTTTGGATTGTGGGAGGAAACCAGAGCATCCGGAGGAAACCAAAAAACGTAGTTCAATCAATAAATATTCCTGCATTGTCCTTTCATCCTGAGGGCCTAAATTCAAATCTAGGCCAAACCAATGGTGTCAAAACTCTTTTCCACTGTGTTGCATTAAATTTGGCTGATTTCTGTCTAACTCCTTATGGTTCAAGCCCACAACACAGTATTATTTAAAGACTGGTCACCTGAGAGATAATCAGACTTGTAACCTCTTAATAGTGTTCTAGAGCTTATGTCAAATTATGACCTAATTTACTTCTTCTGCTACATTTGAGGTTAGGAAATTCCAGTGTTAAAGTAAATAACTGTCAAGAAGCCCGAATCTGCAGCTGAATGAGATGCATTAAATCTAGGAATATTTGTTGCCAACACTGCATGCTTAAACTGGCTACATGTTCCACTTCCAACAAACATCCATTGACTTGATACGTAGAAAATGGTATCTGTGTATAAGTTATGATTCATCAATGAACAGTTCAATGTAGGATGGTGATAATATCAATGCAAAAGACTGTATTCAACATTGCAACAATCTTTCCCACAATATAAAGATCTTGCCTGAAGCATCAACAGTGGCATATGGTTTGAATTTATTGCATGGCTGTCATTCAAATGTTATTTTGTACAAAGGGTGAAAATGAACTTTAAACATATATTAATCAACCTGTTCAAAAGATGTTATGACATACCTCTGGAGCAGGTGACACTTGAAGGCAGGGCCTTCTGGCTTAGAGGTAGGGACGTTACCAGCGCACAAGAACCCAATATGAAAATAAGCTTTAAATCTTTTTTTCTTATTTTCTAACCAACCTGCTCAGCCATATTATTACACACATCTGAAGCAAGTGGACTTGAACCAGGCCTGCTTGTCCAGAGACACGGACACCTTCACTGTGCCATGAGAGCCAAATGTCAAAATAAGCTGTGATATTTTTTAAAGCTATTTTTCTAATCAACCTGTTCAGAAATGTTACTACACTCCTTTGGAGCAGGTAAGACTTGAACCTGGGCCTCCAGGTCCAGGGATAGGGACACCACCATTGCACCACAAGAGAGCCCCAAAATAAGCTTTAATTTTTTTTTAAATTTAACGTATTTTCTAATCAAACTGCTCAGAGATGTTAGTTCACACTACTGGAGTAGGTGTGACTAATGCCGAAGGGATGCACTGCTGGGCTTGACACAAGGAAATAACAATAGTGAAGGCTGACAACACCCAGCATTGTCTCAAATCCATGACCCTCGTGTTAAGAACCCCAGTCTCTACCAACTGAGCTTGCCAAGTCTTGCTAAAATAAGCTTTAAATGGGCGCTGAGTCAATGCAAGGCACCACTTTGCAATCTGGATTTAGCACACAATTTTGGTCCTGAGTGATGATTACTATGATTCAAGTTTGCCTGAATGTTCTAAATCCGACACTTGCAGGTCTATCACTGGGATGCTGATTGGATGGTCTATGTGGGATCCTTGTACATACTTTTACTGAAAATATGGAATGCTCTGGCTGGCACAGAATGGCACCTTGCAGGATGGCTCAGGGACTGATGGAGAGGACATACAGGTTCTTGGAGGCAGCCCTGCAGGCTTTGATAGAGGAGGCCCCTGGGAGGACAGATGACATGTAGCACAGGGAAAGCATTGGAACCACTCATCTCTCGCTCTCTCCTGCAGTTGCCGGCACTGCTCTGCCTGACCTCACCTCCTACCTCCATTCCTCTTGCAGTCTCTTAATAAGTAGTCAGTTTCTCCTGATGACTCCTGCAAGGTGCCCGATGAGGACCAGGAGAACACCTTTTAGATGAAGTCCTCAAAGAATGTCCAGGATGAATGTTGAGAGTGTTTTGGTGAAGTCTTGAAAAAGTGTCCTAGTATTCTTCAAAGCTTCAGCAGTGTTTAAACATCAACTATTGATATCCCTTTAAATGCTTGAAATCCACATCACTGCTTTGTTGCATTCCCAACAGCTGGTTGTTGTTCAGACAGGGTATTAACCATGATAAGCAGTAGCCATCAAGTTGCTGTGCAGCCAGTCCAGTGAACCCTATCAGGCATTTTTAGTGGTATTCAGCCCTTTAAAGAGCCTCTGAGCTGCTGTTCCTGGTGATAACATCAGATTCTTTATCTTAATGGTGCCTTGCATGGACTAAACTGTAGTTTTCATTTGGCCTCAGGTCTCACAGAGTATCATTGAATGCCTGAACAGCTTGTTAAAAATTGCACCCATCGCTTCATGTGCTCTATCATTTCGACTGCATTATCACTGCAGTTAGTCATTCGCTACACATTAATACTTTATAACTGAAAATATCACTCCCGATTTGTACCTGCAATGTATAACTGTGGGTCCAGAGTTTGGTGTTCTGTTAATATAATCTCTCACGGTTTGTACAAACTGGATTAAAGATTGTGCTGTTTCTGGTACACCATGATCTGGCCAAACAGTGTAGTGAAAGTGACGAACAATTCGAGCACAGTCCAATTGATCCTCCTAAATTATAAGAACAAAGATCTTAACCAAGATGTACCTATGGTATAATGAGAATAGATGTGTTAATGACATGATGATGAATAACATTGACATCAGCAGACACTGCTAAGACAGAGGTTGGAAGAACATGTACGACAGAAATTACTGTAATATATGAGCGATTAAAGAGTTTGTGAGAACTCCTGATTGTCAGACAATGCTCACTCTAGATGAGGCACAGCCTTTGATGCAGCAGACTAAGAGTCAATTCAGCACAGTCTAAAGAACTCATCTTTCTGCGTTACTGAACCTTGGGGTCCAAAACCTTGTAGTGGCTTTATGAGGGGCTGGTCAACAAAAGACGAGTCAGGCAGATCAAACCCAAGGTTGTATCACTGCAGGCAATTTAAACACTGGTAATTATAAGGAGCCACAAAGAACCATAAACACCTTGCTCAATTATAGTGAGAGAGAGAGAGAAAGATGCCAGTGGTTATATACAGCTTGAGGTAAACACTCCTTGAACATGGAGGTAAGATAAGGAGACAGATCCTCATTGAACTACCATAGCCAGTATGGGGATTGAACCCATCTTGTTGGCTTTATCCTGCACTATACCCTAGTCAGCTAGCTAACTGAGATAACTACAAACAAAAACAGAAATTGATGGAAAATCTCAGCAGGTCTGGCAACATCTGTGGAGAGAAATCAGAGTTAACATTTCGGGTCCAGTGACCCTCCTTCAGAACTGGACCTGAAACATTAACTCTGATTTCTCTCTACAGATGCTGCCAGACGTGCTGAGATTTTCCAGCAATTTCTGTCTTTGTTTCTGATTTCCAGCATTAGCAGTTCTTTCACTGTTTCAATGGAGCTAACTAAGCCCCCTTTTCAAACACTGATGGCAGTCGGTCAAACCAGCTCTTCTTCATTACAAAATGCAGTGAATAAACAGGCTGAATGTAAACATATGTAGAACACAGAGAACTTGGTGATGAAAACATACATTTGACACCTGAAAAGGTTGGAGACGAAAGGTTTAAATATAAACAATTTGATTGACTAATATTTTCTATAAAGATATTCAAAAACCCTTACATTACAAATTTTGAATTCTCTGATTGTCCATTCTGGTAAGACTGATTCTGACAGCATCTGAACAATGAGATCTCCATAATACAAAGCGTCAAGGTCAAAGGGCCAATAATGATCACATTTTACCTGGACATGAAAACATATAAAACAAACTGTCACCAGGGTTAAAGTTGCTCATGCTGACAAAAAGGCAATTGACCATCTCAACTTTTGAATTAATCACAAAAACTTCTTGAATTTCCAATGGGTGCTGTTGAAACCTCAGAGAAATGATAGTAATACCTATTAATCCAGTTTCTCTTTGGTTTCCATTGATCGTCCACCGTGAAAACAGGAAATTGCAAAATCGTCATGGAATTTTAAAAAACTTGTCATCAGGATATCGATGTCAATGTCAAGGTTGACATTTTGTAGAGCATAGAGATGTACATTCTGGAAACAGACCCTTTAGTCCAACTTGCCCATACCGACCAGATATCCTAAATTAATCCAGTCCCATTTGCCAGCATTTGGCCCATATCCGTCTAAACCCTCCCTATTCATATACCATTCCAGACGTCTTTTAAATGTTGTAATTGTACCAGCCTCCATCACTTCCTCTGGCAGCTCTCTCCATACACGCACCACCCTCTGCATGAAAAAGTTGCCCCTTAGGTTCCTTTTATATCTTTCTCCTCTCACCTTAAAACTATGCCCTCTAGTTTTGGACTCCCCTACCCTGGGAAAAGATCTTGGCTATTCAATCTATCCAGGCCCCTCATAATTTTATTAACCTTTATATGGTCACCCCTCATGCTCCAACATTCCAGGAAAAATAGGCCCTATTTACATCTATAAACATCTGTGACAGATTCCTAGCTGCATTGAAAAAGTGGTTATAAACCTTTCCCTTTTTTTGATACAAGTAATTGACAGATTAGGCTACTTCAGAGGGCAGTTAAAAATAAACAATAATAAAAACAGAAAATATTAGAGAAGCTCAGACAATCTGGCAGCATCTTTGGACAGAGAAACAGAGTTAACATTTCAACTTCGAAGTCTCTTCTTCCGAATTTCTTTTCATCAGGAACTCTTATTAAAACCAATTACCTCGGTATGCAATTGAAATTCCATATAAGTCAGATAGCGTAAGGACAGCAAACTGCCTTTAAAGTACCAGTTGGAATTTTAGAGCAAGCCCATTGCTTTATGATCACCTTTATAGATACTAATCAGCCTTTTTAATTTCAGATTTCTTTTCACTGAGAATTTTAAAACTGTCATAGTGGGATTTCAACTGCTGTTTTGTGAATTATTAGTCCACTTCAGTAACCCAGCTGTACAGTAAGGTTGAATTATCACCTCATTCTAAGAATAGTTTCTGAGCATGTGCATAGGGAGTTACGTTAGTATGGTGTCAGATCACATAGAACTGTAGCCTGCCTGTTGAAAGCTGTTGAAGCAGGTCCTGTCTTATATGTGTTGTAAATGATTGTGTTAATAAAATTTGTTAAAGTTCCCTCATGAAAATGTAGATGAGCCACTAAATTATTGTACTTTCCCCTGTCATGTTTTACTGTACATACAAGACAGTACATTCATATAACATTATCTACAAACAGTTTTGAAAGGAATACCAACAGAAAATGCTTACCCTTCCCTTTTCTACGCATTGTGTGACCATGACAATATTATGAACATTTTGTTCCGAAACCATTTTCCAGAAGTCATCTTTGGTACCAGGTAGAGGGCCTTGTGTGGCAATGTATTCCCTTCGAAAGTTGCATCCCTAGAATTGCCAAAAACAGCTTACTTTATACATAATGAAACCTGTGAACTAAAAGCTAAATGATATTCAAATATGGAAATTAACTGAACAGTATAAAACAACTTTATTGAAACAAAAGTCCAGCTTACTGGTATGTAACTGGCGTTGATGTAGTCTGAACAAGGGTCATCATCAATGTAGGTTAATTTCACCCTCGTTGAGTCATCTAGTTGCAAACAATAACAGACACGTGAAAGATATCAAGTCATGGTTTTGCACCTGAATATTGATTATATTTTAAAAATCACAAAGGAGTTTAACATATACAGTAACTAAGATAATTGAACCTAAAATGCCAAAATGGAGCATGTCTTCTCAACATCAATTTACTGCCTTGTTCCCATATCCCTCAATGTCCCGACACTCCATAATCTATTTCAGCCTTAAATACACTGCATCCAAAATTCTCTGCAGTAGAGAATGCCAAAGATTCATATGGCTCTGGGTGAAGAAATTTCCCCTCATCTCAGTCCCAGATGATCGATTCCTTGTTAGGGATCTTGGGTTTTCACTGGGTGCTTCACTCGCTTGCTGAAAAGGTAGGCCTATCTTCCAAAACAATTTCCCCGGAATGGAAGTCTTGGCCGGCAAGAGTACTAGCCCATCAGAGATCAGCAGATCTTGCACCTTGTCAGCGCTACCATGAAGCCTGTGACTGTTGTCAGAAGGACACCCAATATTCCAAAGACCAAAATCTCAGGCCTTTTGGGGGCTGAAGGTCATATAAGCAGTTGGGGGGGTGGAGTCACTGTGGCCACCCCCATCCTATGTCTGGCTAGTCCCTCAATCCTGTACAAATTAGAGCAGGTTGAAGATCACCTTCCCCCTAGGACCCTCAATGGACAGCCTTTCTGCATTGGTTTAGTGGTTGGGTGGTCTGCCTCTTTTACATTCCGCCCGAAGATGAGATGTTTGCAAACCAGATGGGAACCAATCCTTACGTGGTCATTAATTGGCACCAATTGACAGCTGGCAGTGAGGTGGGCAGGTCGAGCTTGGGCCTTCCCACTCGGAACTTAGTTCAGGCTGAGATAGGAGGGTGACGGCCCTCTGGAACACCATCACCCTGCCTAACTATATTCATTTCCCACCTCCAGGGTTACTGCCTTTGAGACATGAAGATTCTGCACCAAAGGGACTATACACACTGTGTTCTAAATTTCAGAAGCAGGGGTGCTACCAACTGAGCCAAGAGATTGACAGTGTATTAACCCAGAGTTTAGAACAAATTGTACAATCAAGGTCTGAAATAAATCAATTGCTATGGTTATCATATCAAACTGCAAGCATCAGACCTTTGTATAATTCAACCACTGTAGCACTAAAATGCTCACAAAGCTTATTGCAAATGACAGCATTGCAGTCACCTATTACATATTTCTCCTGGTGATAACTGGTGCTTTACAGTAAAACTCAACATCTAAATTGCTCCACAGTTTAAGCACCCTCTGAGTAATGACCCAGCAGACAAAGGGTTAAATAAGTAAGTTTGCCAGTCAGCCTGCAGCACCATGAGTACTCTGGTCCTCAAACTATAAAACATTTCTGAATTGGTTAACAATAAATTCCAGATGGAATGCACCATCTATAAAAGCTGGTGGCATGAGAAATGTTGCACTTACAAGGCAGAATATTGTTGTATCGATTTTTTCCTCTATTTTCAGGTAAAAGTGCTGTGTCAAAAGACTGGTTTCTTCCAACATCTTTTAAATCCTTTCAAAGGGAAAGTAATAACTCAGTCTAATGTGGTCAGGGAGTTTTTCCTTATTTGTGTTACTTCTCATCACACAGAATCAAGTAAATATGTTTAAAACATTTAAAACATCAAAACCTACCTCATATTCCTCAGACAGAAGATAGCTGGAATCTGCTTGAAGTTTGGTAAATTGGTTTTCGAACTGGTTTGTCTTAATTTCTCTGAAATGAATTTGGCAGAGTTCACTTAGGAAAAATGACATAAATTATGATTTCAATAAACGTGCCATGATTCAGATGCCTAGGATAAATATTCAAACAAACCTGGAAATTGGAGGTTGCCTGAAAAAAGAAAAGGATAAGGAAGCCCCAGTGAGAATATTAACTTTGAGCATTTTTGATTTGATAAAAAGAGAGTGTTTAAAGTGCTGTGGAGTCAGAAAGTTCTCACCTTCCCTGCACAAGAGGAACATTGACAGATGATAGCCTGTCTTTTGTCTTTGATGCTGGTTTAGATTCAGAACTCCTGCAATCACAAATAGATTGAATAAGAACACAAGATTGTTTAGGAAGCTACTTTCCAACCTCATCAAACTTAAGATCATTCAAAAGACTGCTGCCTGTGTGCTACTCATATCAAGGAACTTTCCCCTATCACACTGTGCTCACTGACCTGCACTTGCTCCCAGCCATCTTGATTTTAAAATGACTATCCTTTCCAAATCTCTCTCTGGTCGGGCTCCTCCTTATGTCTGCTATCTCTTTCAGCCCCCCAAACCCTGGAGATCTCTGTACTCCTATTGGTTGCCTATGCCCCATGCTCAGAAATTCCCTCCCGATCCTCTCCACCTTGCTTTCTTCCTTTAATGCACACTCTAAAACCTATTAATTTGTCGAAAGCTTTTGGTCATCTCCTTATGCTGCTCGGTGACATGCTTTCATTTGTAATAATCCAATGAAACACCATGAGATACTTTAGATTCATAGAATCTCCACAGTGTGGAAGTAGGCCATTCAGTCTGCACTCAGATCCAACCCCCCTTCCCTATCCCTGTAACTCTGCACTTCCCATGGTCAATCCACCTAACCTGTACATCTTTGGACTGTGAGAGGAAACCAGAGCACCTGGAGGAAACCCATGCAGACACAGACAGAATATGCAAACTCCACACAGACAGTTGCTGAAGGGTGGAATCAGACCCAGGTCCCTGGCACTATGAGGTGGCAGTGCTAAACACTGAGCCACCATGTTAGTGTCTTTTATCTGGTTAAAGGCTTTTAACAGATAATCTTTATCAGGTAAAGGTGCTAAATAAATATAAGTTGTTGTAGTTTTGACAGATCAAATCCACTTATCCAGCTTTGCATTATATCCTTCAACTCTGCATCCAGAAACTCATCCAATTGTTTTGAACCCACTTATCCTGACTGTGTGATCTTCCTCAGTAAATTATTAATTATTCCACATTTATTTTTATGCTTTGTTTCTGAAGGTTTGACCCGGTTTCTCCATTACCGGTATTGGTAATTTTTATCTTGTCTCCTTTGGCAATTGAAACTCACAGTCTGAGTGATGATCTTGGGTTAACATTGTGAATTACCTTCACAATCTAGAAAGTTTCAACTAAATTTATTTAGAATAGGTTAGAAGTTTGGAAGTTCACAATGGCTGAGAATGTCTTCAGAGTTGCTCTTGCTTTGTTTACATTGAGGGGTAGGACGCAGGAGATCACATAAACAGGCTTTTTGCTGCACTTCCTGAAAGTATACTGGTTGATGGGGGCCACTTTGAGAAGATTCACAGTCAATTTAAGCAGAATTGCAATCAGATGTAAGTCAGCAGCGATAATTAAACAAATGTCAATTACCTCAAATACTGGAAGCACAAATAGAATGTCAGTGGAAGAAACTTTTAGCTTTGCCAATTTTGATACATAACATAACGTGCTAAGGGAGTGCTAGAGATAAACATTTATACCACTGAGTCCCATAATGCAGCAACAGACTATAGTCAGGAGTCAGGTTCGTCACAGCTGTTCACAATCCCCTGCTTTAGCAGCGTTGCAGTAGAAAGAATGCAAGCACGTTTCTGCTGCATTTATGGCAATGAAACCCGAATAGAACGGGGGCTAGATCTGAGGATTTTCATGAGATAACTCAAGGAGTTTCAGACTCTTAAGTGAATCAATATGAAATGCTGAATTTGTCACAAAACTGTGCAAATACTCACGCTGGCTTCACTTTCCTCCTGCAAACGATTATAGCCATGACTGAAATAAGGACAACAATCAGGAACACACCAGCACTTGCTCCTTCTATGACGCCAAGATGAGGTTCTAAAATCAGGACACAAATAGTTGTCATCTATTTTGATGCATGCAGATTGAAGTCTATAATATGTGTCGAATAATCTATTGGGAATCTTCTGAGTTAGTAGAAGCTAAGTTTAAAAGGTTTGTCCCACTGTGGAGTTTACAAGGGTGTGCACAAGCAAACACCTACCTGCCTCAGTAGTGATAGGCAGAGAGAAATAGGTATCTGAAAACAATGGATTGTTCATGTCTTCATCAAATAGCTGAGTGAAGGCACGCACACTGATTCTGAAAAAAACAAAATCCACAGGTTAGTTTTTGTACAGTTGTAAAATTTTTAAATGTTTCGTCAGGATATGGAGTAAGGAACACATCCCTCCAAGGGATCTGACCTGTAAGACGTTCTAGATTTTAAAGGTCCATCACAGAATGTTTTCTGATCCTTCTCACACTTCCCTCCCAACCTGTCCATCTGAGCTCCAACTTTTATTTCAAAGGTCTGCAATGTGCCATCAGGATTTTCTGCACATTTGCTTGAGAAATAATTTGTCTGATAGTGTCGGACTGAGCTGTTCCGTTTGTATTCCAGGTAAGATGGCAAGGGGTGCTGTTTTACTGGCTTTGTGTTTTCGGTACCTAAAAGCAAAACAAGATAGTCATGGTAAAATAAAGTATGTTACATCAGTTCAGTGTGGCTGTGGTGAAGAGCATAATCCAAAATATTAACTTCTTTGTAGATCCTGATTGGCTTGTTGTTTATTTCCAGCATTTGCTACTTTCGATCCAAATTTGAAACTTTTTATTGCTTTTCATATCCTTTTTGCTGAAAAATATGCTAACTGTAGCCTTGGTCAAACCAAATACTATTCATCCAACACTCGTGTGCTCGCTGTTCTACACTGGCTCACTATGACTTGTCAGTAGAGGCTACACCCATTTATGTTCCAATAAGGAGTAATTGGCCCAAATGCAAAGATATTCATCAAAATACTGAAATGGGCCTGGTGCCGTTAATCACTGGTGATAAACTTCTTTAAGTCAGAATGCACCTGTGCATCTACAGCCAACATCACTACACACATACAGAATGGGAAACATAGGTCTGCATCTGTACTTGCCTACATACAAACAACGGTGGTGAGCTCGTGTAACACTGTGGTAGAGTCCTTATCTCTGAGCCAGGAGGCCTGTGTTCCCTTCCTAACGCATTGTGGGTCTACCTTCGCCACCAGCTTTGGTACAGGCAATAAATGCTGGCCAGCCAGCAATGCCCATGTCCCACGAGAGAATTTAAAAAAGCAACAGTGAAGCTGAGGGTAGGAACTGAGGGTGCCAGTTGTATGGTGTGGTCCTTTGCCTGCACGTTTGCGCTCATCAGGATTTCACCTTTCAATTGGACCTAGGGAACAGCACTTTGAAATCCCCAAGAAACAGAGGGGCTGCAACAGAATGCGAGAAACAGAGTGCAAGAAACAGAGGGGCTGAAACAGAGTGCGAGAAACAGAGGGACTGAAATAGACTGCGAGAAACAGAGGGGCTGAAACAGAGTGCGAGAAACAGAGTGCGAGAAACAGAGGGCGAGAAACAGAATTCGAAAAACAGAGGGCGAGAAACAGAGGGCGAGAAACAGAGGGGCTGAAACAGAGTGCGAGAAACAGAGGGCGAGAAACAGAGTGAGAGAAACTCAAAGTGAGACACTGAGATGCAAAACCAAGCCTGATGTTATTTCAGTTATAATTCCATTGTGGGAGAAATTGGCTTCTCAGAATGAAGAGAAGCCTCGATTATCCAAGATCCTTCAGAAGCTTGCAATGCTTTGTTTCTGTCCAGTGTGTGTAATCACAGTGTGGTTATATCGGCAGCACCAACCCTGTGACAGGCTGCTGCTCTTGTCATTAAACATTGATGTTGCACAGCAACTTTGCCTACCTGTGCATGCACACTTGTTGCTTCAACTGGTGGCGGTGTTCATAGCAAATGCACCCTTCTAATAATTATTACATGATTCTCTTTGCTTAAATATGTAACACCTCCCCTTCATCCAACTCTTATCCAGGCAAGCACATGCTGCAATGCTACCATCACTTATCCAGGTTCCAAAAATTAAACTGTTATTTTCAGTTCCATTAGTTCATTGTGCCTTTACTCTGTAAGGACCATGTCTTTTTTAAAAAAAAATGTGCCTTTCAAAACTGTGGACAGCACTGAGAAAGAACTGTTTTTAAAAGCAGAGATTTACCAGGATGGCTTCAAAATTTCACAGCAAGGACTCTGATACTTATTGTGAAGTCTATTTTTGTGGCTTTTTAAAATTTATTCATGGGATGAGCGTGTCACTGGCTGGGCCAGCATTTATTGCAGTCAAGGGTCAACCACATTGCTGCAGTTCTGGAGTCACATGTAGGCCAGACCAGGTAAGGATGGCAGTTTTCTGACAATCGACAATGGATTCATGGTCATTATTAGACTCTTAACTCCAGGCTTTTATTGAATACAAATTCTACCATCTGCCAGAACATTACCTTGGTCTCCGGATTAACAGTCCAGTGATAATGCCACTTGGACATCGCCTCCCCTATGGACTATGGGTTCCTGCAACATGTAGATGATCAGGAGCTGAGGAGTTGTTTACAAGTGAAAGCTGATTGGAACCCAGCTAACTGATTCTGTTGGAACTGGAAACAAGTTAGAGAGAGATAGACACACACACAGAAAGACTCAGAAGTGTGCTATTGTTCTCTCCAGCAGAAGCTGCCTGCTCTCTGCAGTCAATTCTCATGTAATCTTGAAAAAAAAAAGCTACCTTTCCTGTAGCATTTGCCGGGGACTGTGCCTTTTGAATGAATAGATCAGAGACATTCTCCAAATGAATCAGTTGCTCTGCACTTCCGACAAACTAGTGGAAACTTCTAGATAAAGACAACTGAACACAAAGGATTTGGCTAGCTGAAGAAAGATCATCTAAATTGCAGTTATTTACAATTGTATTGGGAAGCAAAGACAACTGGACTGACATTCCAGTTTTCTTTTTAACTCCGCCAATACTCTATTTTCTCTATTTGTTTCTATGTGTGTGTGCGCGCGTGTGTGTAAGTGAGAGTTTGGAATGGGTTACAGTTTAAAATAACAATGTTATATGTTTTATATTTGTTCACCTATAGCTATAGTCCCATTATTTATAATAAATAATAATTCCTTTTTCAGTACAGAAACCTTTTGTCTACACTGAATAACACTGGTCAACTACAGCGCAAAGCTATATTGTCATGTCTTGCTCGTTAAATTATTAAAGAGTCTTGGAATTGGATGTGATTAAGAAAAGTTTAGATGGATAATTTTTCTATCAAACTTGATCTGAAAGTCAGATAAATGGGGGTACTATGTATATTATCAGAAAAACTAACAGATTAACGGGGCTGAAATTATGATGCACTTCCCCAGTGGGTCACAACAACTCATAATTGTATTGAAAAAACGTGAAGGTGGCTGGAAGAGTTTCTTTTTATAATCACTGGTAAATGGAAATAACTGGATAGTTTGTTTTAATGTTCTCATCTAGGTTACATGAACGATACTAGAAAATAATCCTTTTAGCTTTTTTGATGAAACAGGCTTCACGATTCCAGAATTATCAACAGATTCACTGACAGGAAATCCCCCATGCTGCTAGTGCAGTCCTCACACCGTAAGCTGATACATACCATAGCATTAATTGTAACCTCATGCACGGTGGGCTTGTGATTTCCTGATCAATCCTCCCAGAGAACCAGGGCCTTAATCTAGAGCACATGTCTATAAAAGTGACTTGTGGCTTTTTCAGTTCATCAGTAGTAGTTAACAACACAAATCAAGTCAAATAATACCTTACCTTCTGATTCATACACTATGACAGTGAAGTACTTTATGGCTCCATTGACATCACTGAACCAACTACAATTAAAATTAAAATGTATGGTGGATTTGGTAATGACAACTGCTTTGTCATCGACTCGGATATGTGACGGTGGAGGAGGTGGACCTGAGGGAAAAGTATGTATATATGTTATTACAACATTTGTTGTAAACCTTTTGTCTGCATTGAGTAATACAGGTCAACTATAGTACCATGTTACATTGTCATGTTTTGCTCATTAAATTATTAGAAATATTAAGCATCTTGCAATTGGATATGTTAAAGAATAGTTTAGATGGACAATTTAAAGGCTTTCTTACAATTAACAGGGAAATTGCAACCATGTACAATTATAAATGTCATCAATCAAAAATGAATAAATGAATGAATGATTTTATTGTCACATGTATTTCATAGTGAGAAAAACAGTAAAATACATTGAAAAGCTTTTCAAAGTTGCCACGGTCTGACACCATTTTTAATAGTTTTAAGAATAAATTGTGTTTTTCTCTCGGGATGTTGGAGGTATCACAGTGTAAAAACTTAACCAGAATGAGTTCTTCTAAATCAAATAATTACTAAAGATTCAATTGAAAATATTTTAATAAACATTTGAAAAAAGCATGGAATCATGGTTAGGGGAAGGTAAAGCTGCAACGTGCTGAGAAATGATTAATTTTTACAGGACTATAGATTTTGTTTTAGTGGGATGGAACAATGTAAGAATTGGAAGTCTGGAGCCCAATAACACAAATAGCGACGCAGATAGCGAGAGGCTGGATTTTTATGGAGGAGTGGGAACGGTTGAGTCAGGAAATTTGTTGACCCAACAGATTTGTCTCATTCAACAAGATCCCCATCTGCCATATTTCTGGACTGGGGAAGTGGAAGTGGGATAGACTTAAGCCTTGCAACTCTGGAGGTAGGTATAAGGGAAGCAGACAGGCAGATGGGATGTCTGCCTCCATTTTCTGGTGATTGGGCCCAGTTACAAAGAAGAATTTCAAACCCTGAAACTCTCATCCCTCACCGACATTCACCGCCAGGTTACCCTCAAGCCTCTCCATATCACCATGCCACATCTATACCCCAAACCTCCTATGCCACCTCCATTCTCCCCCTACCCTCCATGTCCCTCATGTACCCTCTCCCAGTATTGACTATGTCAGGCCTCAGGATATCCTTGAAATTGGCATTAAAAATAAAGCTCCTGACAACCTAGAAATTTATTTTTTTTAAAAAAAGGTCCATTTCATAGATGTCCTGATTTCTGCTTACAATGTATATTGGGTAACTGGCTATGGAGGATACATGGGAAGAATGCAGAGTATGGAATGAGGGGCATTAAGATTGCATGGGGAATGGGGCCACTGACGTTAAATGGGGCATGGATATGGGTGGGCTGGTGAGGACTGAAGATCTGAGGGTCTGAAATTTAATCTTCAAACTGGCATGGTGTCCCAGTAAATGGAGATGGACACTCCAGCCTGGCGATCTGCCTTGCTCCATTGCTGCCTTGGTCTGCCTCTGGATTTGGACGGCCCGACTCTATGCCATCTCCATCTTCTTATAATGAAAATACATTGGACTGCCAGATCAGGGCATTTTCAGCTTCAATCTTCCAGCCTACTCCACCAAAATGCTGGCCTATTAGAGTTGGATCAACATTTGTTGCGTAGAGACTCAGTTCTAGATTAATTATATACTAAAATGTAAAACTTACAGAAAGGACGAGGCATTTTGTGATAACTTCAGCTTGATATTGATAAAGATACTGGAGTTGGAAAACCAACACAAAGTATTCAATTTGATTTTGAAAGTACCAAAAAAATTCAATGAGCCAAATGGCAACTCACTCAAAACACCTTTACCTTCACAGAGATAAAAATTCAATTTGTTGGATTATGGAAATAACTACAACCTACATGATTGAATCATGCTAACCAGTCACTTGTTTTTCAAGAAGGGGCCTATTTTCATCCTTTTCCCCATTCTTTCTTTGGTCAAGCTCATTTGTTTTTAAATAGGCAGTTCCTAAACTACAAAAAACTGTGTCAAACGTTGTACTTAGAAGTTTTTTGAACAAAATAAACAGTTTTTTGTAAAAGCTTCAAAATATTTGATTGTGAATACTTACTATCAATCATGGTAATAACACTGTCCTCAACAGCATCACTGGTCATTTTATCAGAGATTACTTTTATAGCCACTAAATATTTCTTGTCTGGCTCTAGTTCCTTGATGATGTATTGAACTAATTCTTTTTCAACTCTTCGTGAATATACCAATTCTTTTTTGTCATAGTGGTAGCATTTAACATCATAGCCATCGTAGTCCGAGTCAGGGTGTGTCCAGGAGCACGAGACTGCAGTGGAACTCTGAGGTCGACACCTGATGTGCTGTATTTTGTCAGGCCCTGTAATGGTACAAATAACCACAGAAACAATTGTAATTGTTGGAAAATGGAAAAATCAACATTAATATATTTCTTAAATCATGCTGATAATTACTTTCAACGTAAAGGCTGCCTTTCAGAATCTTTCATGATAACCTGGCATTTAGATGCAGTTGAAAGTCTTACGAATAGTTAGAGCTCAACATCACCAATGATGTGAAGGTGCCGGTGTTGGGCTGGGGTGGACAAAGTCAGAAGTCACTCAACACCAGGTTATAGTCCAACGTGTTTAATTGAAATGACAAGCTTTCAGAGCACTGCTCCTTCGTCAGGGGAAGTCACCTTGAAAACGCCAAAAGCTTGTAATTTCAAATTAACCTGTTAGACTGGAACTTGGTTACTTGTGACTTCTGGCAATATCACCAATGTTCTTATTGCTGGTTTCTCATACTTACTTCAAGCTTATTAGCTTCAATTTGTCTAAGGCTTCATGCCTTCAAATTATCTTAATCTATAGTGCACTTACTTATTTCTACTGGCTCCCTGTGCCCCAACATCCCAATTCCAAATCCTCATTTACAAGTTTTATCAACTTCCCATCTTCTTCTCCAACTCTATATCCAAGCTTGCAACCTCCAATGCCCCAACTATTGTGCGTCTACTTGTGCCTTCCTTCCTAGCTTTGCAGCCAAATTTCTTGACCATCACAGCTTCGTACTCTGGAATTCTCTTCCTAAACATCACTTGCCTACATAACCATTACTCTTCACATTTAAAATATGCCTCAGAATCAAGCTCATTGATTATCCTTTTTATTCCCAATTCCTGTTTGTTGCTCATTCCAGTTTTGTGAAGTGTTGTGTCTATATCTTGCTATTTTAAAAGCACCATATAGATGCAAGTTGTGTTGTACTTTCTAATCTACTAATTAGAGTGATAAGTGGTGACGTCAGTGGGCTAGAAATTCTGAAATCCAAGCTAATGTTCGAGGACGTGGGTTTGAATGGCAGATGGTGAAATCTGAATTAAATAAAAATCTACTATAGAAAGCTCATCAAATGGTGACTATGCAACGACTGCTGAATCTTATAAAAACCCACCTGTTTCACTAATATCTCTTACGGAAGGAAATCTGCCATCCTTACCTGGTCTGTGACCACTGCAATGTCGTTGATCCTCTGAAATGGCTTAACAAGCAACTGATTTCAGAGGCAATTAAGGATGGACAATAAATGCTGGCCTCAGGCATGAACAAATACAAAAAAAATTAAAGAACTCCAAAAGTTTTATATGAAAACAAATTAACTTGCCCCATTATACTGACAGCATATTACTTTTACAGTGCAGCAATTCACTGGACTTTATTTATCTAAATAATCCAAGCTAAGCCTTAATGTCTAGCTTGCCTAATGTATAAATTACAGTGTTCCTGAATAGTACAACTTTAGAAATGTGTTTGTGAATGAAAAGACTCATTGCATGAATTAATTTTCATTTACTAAGATATTTGCAGGACAGTTGTTTTCATTTCTTTATCTTTGTTTGATACTTTCATATATTTCCTTTTGTGCGTTCTTTTGTGTTTTTTTCATTACATTAATGTTGTAGCCCATTTAACATTGTAGACTCACTGACATATTTAGGTCGGCAGTAAGAGGGTTTAACTGTTGTTTCAGTTCAGGCTCAGCTGAATATTTTGAGATTACTTCATTTGAAAAACCAACATATAAATCTTTAAGCCAGCTTTCAATAATCCAACAAACCCTATTTCTGGGAAGATTTAACCTAAACCCCTTTGCACTGCAATAGTCCAACAATTCATCAATGAGCAAAGAACAAAGAATGATTCAACAAATGTTAAAAGTAAACAATAAATACTTGGATTTATACTCAAATCATTTTACTGAAAGAAAATAGGAACAGGAATAGGTTATTTAACCCCTCTATCCTGCTCGGCCATTCAATGAGATTATTGTTGATTTGCAACCAACACAATTTGCTTTACTTGTGATATAATGGAGACAAATGGTTTCTCCAGAATTTTTACTTATTTTAGTATGCACTGTAAACATACTGTAACTTATATTGTCATTCTGCATATGAAGCAAATATGATTCTTGATTTTAATGTTCCATCTTCTGCTAGGGTGATATTCTCTGGGTTCTGGCAATCGTCCAATACCTCAATTTAACTGAGCTTGCACAGTAAAGTGTACTTCTTTTTCCCCTTTATTCATTCACGGGATGAGGGTGTCGCTGACCAGGGAACATTTCTGCCAGAGGGCAGTTTAGAGTCAACCACATTGCTGTGGGTCCAGAGTAGGCCAAACCTGGTCAGAATGGCAGTTTCCTTCCCTAAAGGACATTAGAGAACCAGATGGGTTTTTCTGACAATTGATTCACGGTCATCATTAGATTCTTAATTCCAGATATTTTCTGGAATTCAAATTTCACCATCTGCCATGGCGCGATTCGAACCCGGGTCCTCAGCACATCACCTGGGTGTCTGGATTAACAATCCAGTGATAAAACCACGAGGCCATTGCCTCCCCCTTACCGTAATACCATGATGGTATCACCGGGGTGTCTGGATTAACAATCCAGTGGTAAAACCACGAGGCCATTGCCTCCCCCTTACCATAATACCATGATGGTATCACAGCTCAATCTGATTCTATCCTTGACTGATATTCAAGAAGGTGAATCAGGAATGGTAATCCCTGCTGATTGTTTTCTTCTTTTGTGTTTAAGAACCAACTGCTAAATCCTAAATGCTGGCCAGACTGAGAGTAAGTGTCTCAGCAGGGAATACAGACTAAGACTTGCACCTTTCTGGTCTGAATCATGTAGTAGCACAGACTATGCATACCCACTAATCTACTGCAGGGAATTATCTCAGTTCCATTTGTTCACTTTTTTCTAAGTTAAAATAATAGCCACACAACCTAATGACGTATTTTTGCTCTGAACAGTGATATAAATGATGTTGTGCTTTAACTTACTTGTTCTGATTGGAGCTTGAACAGGTTCACTAAAGGATGTTAATGATTTCCCACTGACAGTGCGCACCACGAAGGTATAGTGACGTCCCGGATGGAGTTTCTGTATGATTCGTCCTTTTGATTTCATGGTGTTGTATGGATTAAAAACAACAACCCGAGAGTCTTTTGGAGTCCACTGCAGCTCAAAGTCATCATAATCTGTCCCATCTGGAGGGCCCAACCATGTGATGACCAATGAAGTGTTTGTAACATCAGCGAAAGATACTGATCCTGGAGGTCTGGGGGCTTTAAGAGATTGAGTGATTATCAATAAACATTAAATCAAAACATCAACGAAACTATTAGAAAGCTACTGACTTCCACATTCGTATGTGTAGAAAATATTTAGATAAAGTAGAAACTTTCATGTACCACTTATGTGCTTAACCCTGATGGGAAGAAGTTGGAGATATTAAATTTACGAATTCTTTTCAGGCTGCAACAAGGATTTACTGTGCAACTAAACAACTGTTGCTGGAGTTTGTTGCTAGTCCTACCAGGATATCTACTTTCGTGGTACATGGAGCTCAACTATCATCCACCCAGGCTTGTCTGCAACTATTTTGTGATGTCCATCATCCGACAATGCCTAGCTCAACATTTCTTTCTGCTGTCCTCCACTTTGTCCCTCAGAACAGATCTCTGTATCTTTCCACCAATGATCAATTTACTTTTTCTTATTATTCATTCAGGGGATGTGTGCTTAGCTGACTAGATCAGCATTTATTGCCCGTTCCTAATTGCCTTTGAGAAGGTGGTAGGTGACGTGCCTCTTGACCCACTGCAGTCAGTATGGTGTAGGAACACCCACAGAGCTTTTAGGAAGGGAGTTCCAGGGTTTTAGCACAGCAACGGTGAAGCAACGGTGATATATTTCCAAGTCAGGATGGTGAGTGGCTTGGAAGGGAACTTGATAGTGGTGACATTCCTGTGTATCTGCTGGCCTATTCCTTTGAGATAATCGAGGTTGTGGATTTGGACGGTGCTGTCAAAGGAACCTTTGTTTTTTCCTGCAATGCATTTTGTAGATGGTAAACTCTATTGTATGGTTGTGATGGAGGGAGAGAGAGAGTAGAATGTAGGCTTCAGAAGTCGGGAGGTGAGTTATTTGCTGACAATTTCACAGCCTCTAACCCACTTTTTTAAGCACTGTACTTATATGGCTAGTCCAGTTAATTTTCTGGTCAATGGTAACCCTCAGAATGTTGATAGAGGAGCATACTGTGATGGTAACAATATAGAATGTTGAGAGTGGTGGGTAGATTGGAGATGGCCATTTCTAGCGTTTGTGTGGTGCAAATGTTACTTGCCACCTATCAGGCCAAATCCGGATATTGACTGGGTCTTGCTGCATTTGGACACGGACTGTTTCAGTAGCTGAGGCAAATGGTGCTAAGCATTGTGCAATCATCGGCAAATATCCCCACTTCTGACCATATGATGGATGGAAAATCATTGATGAAGCAGATGACTATAGTTGGGCCCAGGATATAACACCAAGGAACTCCAAGAAACTGGTTGAAGTCTGGTATCTGCAATGCTGGGGCCTCTGGAGGAGGCTACGGTGGATCATTCACTCGGCACTTTTGGCTGAAGATTGTTGTGAATATTTCAACCTTATCTTTTGCACTGATGTGCTGGGCTCCTCCAAGAGGTTGGAGATGTTTGTTGTGCCTCCTCCTCCAGTGAACTGAATAACTGTCCTCCACTCTTCATGGCTGAATGTGGCAGGATTGCAATGCTTAGATTTGATCCCATTAGAGTGAAATTGCCTAGTTGTGTCTACTGCTTCCTGCTTCTACTGTTTGGAACAGAGGTAGACACGTGTTTTAGGTTCAAAGGGTTGACACCTCCTTTTTACATACACCTAGTGCTGCTCCTGGCATGCCCTCTTGCACTGTTTCAATGAACTAATGTTAAACCCTTTCCTTTTCTAGGTGTTTCTTCTAAAGAACTCTGTTTGCTTTTGCAATTTCAAGCATTTCTTCATTTGTCTCATGGCCTGTGTACAAAATGTAAACATGCTACATCATTCAAATTTAAATGGCCTTTTTTTCTTCAACAGTCCATTACTCAGTGGCTATGGTTTTGAGGCGTACAGAAAAATGAATTAAATGTAGCATCTTATAAACATTTTCCTTGTCATAAACTTGTGTTTGTTTTTGTTAAAACAGTATTTAAATAGCAGGCCAGAAAACCCACAGGGTATTGACTCTTGCGTTAAGAGTTGGCATGTTCCTGGCTGCACCCCTTTAACCTAGCTCTGCTGAAATTTGCAGCATCAGGGTGTGAGGTTGGGTTAAACAAATCTTTGGCAAAGCAGTTCACATGGTTAAGGGGTAATTCATGTACAGTTGATTTTGTAACTTATTTTAATGTCTGTCTGTGCAGTAGCATGTCAGTTTGAATCATCTTAATGAACACCATGATTTGGGATTAGACATTTATTTAGACTTTTATTAATCACACGAGCGTAAGTAATGACTTTCAAAATTATTAAATACATTATAATATCAAACTCTTGGATTTTTTTTTAAAAGAGCTGCATTTTATCTTCACATCATACTGTGGTGCAATGAATTCAGTTGTCTTTGTTAATTGACTTTGAGAATGTAATAGATTATTTTTCCTCATGTTTCAGACAATGAGCCAATTTTCTCCTTGTAAAGCTGTGATTAGAGTCCCAGAACATACCTGAGGCTCTGACATCTGTTTCTGCATTCCTAATTTTAAAAAAAATCTCCTTTCACATTTTAAATGACGACAGGATCTTGTTTTTCTAATATGTTCCAAATATGCAGATACCCTGAACTACACCGCAAATAGAAGCTGTTTACAAAGTGCAATGCCACTTTGGAAGGGCAACTTTTATATCCATTAACAGTGTCAGTAAGCACTAATTCAACTCGAAGCTTCATCTCAAGCATTTGATTCTCAGTGTGGAAAAATGCACAGCATATTTTACAAATCCTTCAGATCCGAATAAAATATTTGATGAGGTGAGTGAGAGCCCTTGACATCAAGACCACATTTGACTGAGTGTGGCAAAAAGGAACCTTCATAAAACTGCAATCAATGAGAATCAGGTGGATAACTCTCCACTGGTTGGAGTCATATCTGGCACATAGGCAGATGGTTGTGGTTGTTGGAGGTCAGTCATCTCAACTCCAGGATATCTCTGCACATGTCCCTCAGGGTAGTGTCCTAGGCCAAACCATCTTCACCTGCTTCACCAATAACCTTCCTTCTATAAGAAGGTCAGAAGCGGGGATGTTTGTTAATGGCTGTGCAATGTTCAGCACCATTCATGGTCCTCAGATGCTGAAGCAGTCCATGTTCGAATGCAACAAAATCTGGACAATATTCAGGTCTAGGCTGAAAAATAGCAAGTAACATTCCTGCCACACAAATGCCAGGCAATGAACATCTCCAACAAGAGATAATCCATCCACACCCTTAAAATTCAATGGTATTACCATCACTGAATACCCTACTATCAACATCCTGGGGATTTACCATTGAACAGAAACTCAACTGGACTTGCCATATATATACAATGGCCATAAGTGCAGGTCAGAGGCCTGGAACAGTGCAGCAAGTAATTCAACCCCTGACTCTCCAAAGCCTACACACCATCTAAAAGTCACAAGTCAAGAGTGTGATGCAATACTCCCCATTTGCCTGGATGGGGGCAGCTCCAATAACAATCGAAGCTTGACACCATCCTGACAAAGCAACTGTCTTGATTGGCACCACATCCACAAACATCCACTCCCTCCAACACCGACGCTCAGTAGCAGCAGTGTGTACTATCTACAAGACGCACTGCAGAAATTCACCAAAGGTCCTTAGACAGCACCTTCCAAGTCCACAACTGCTTCCATCCAGAAGAACAAGGGCACCAGATACATGGGAACACCACCCCCTACAAGTTTCCATCCAAGCCACTCACCATCCTGACTTGGAAATATATCGCCGTTCCTTCACTGTCACTGGGTCAAAATCCTGGAAATCCCTCCCTAAGGTCATTGTGGGTTCATCTTATGGCGCATAGACTGCAGCAGCTCCAGCAGGCAGCTCACCTCCACCTTCCTGAGGGCAACTAGGGATAGGCAATAAGTGCTGGCCAGATAGCGATGCCAACATCTTATGAGTGAATTATAAAGACATTTGAAGGCATCTTTTTATTGCTCTGCAGTGGATGTGAATTCTTTGTTGAATAAATGTCACCATGTTAGATTGCTAGATGAGCACTTTGTGGTTTTAGATTACTTTATAACAACAGGGGAGAAATAAGAGCTTGCTGTTCTGAAAGCTTGATCAAGTGATGTGAAGTCTATACTGACAGGAGCATCCTAACTATGTCTTATACAAATATATTGCTCTTTTGCTAAACTGGAGCTTTGCTTTAACCTGGTATGTCATTTTAAGACTACAATTTCTTATTGCTGTAATAAACATCCTTAGTCCGTTATATATTCATTGTTATTGCAGATTAAGAGTGTTTTGCCATAAAACAGCATGAAACAATTATCTTTCTTACTTAAAGCTGTTCTTGACACTTTGAATTGTGACTACAATGAGTCCTGTCCATTTATACATACACAATGGAGATAATTTTAACTTTTATTGTTGCTGATAGTGATTCAGCCATCTGCTTTGCACATGTCTCGTTTTCCGATTATGCCATTAAAGATACAATCACCCTTGGTGCCTTTCCCATTTGAGTAAATATACTTTCATATGTAGAGTTTATTCATGGTACCATCTGACCTACCAGTTATGACAGATGCAGTAGCTATAGACTTTTAAAGACATTAAAATGAAAACACCAATCAATCCTTACCTGTCCTTCCCTCCGTAGAAGCTTTATTGCTCAATTCTCCACTTTGTGTTACTATCACCATGCGATAAATCCTACCAGGGATCAAGTCCTGAAAGTTGCATTCCTTCATGTCTTTCTTTCCAAATATATTGCTTTGAACAGTACCATTTGGATTATAAAGTGATATGTTGTAGGAATCAAACTCCCCCAAAGCTGGGGTCCATGTGAATAACAAGCTGTCAGTCTGGTTAATGTTCATCCATTGCAGATGGGTAACCTCAGCTGGAACTAAACAAATAAAATTTAGTAAAGCACAAGAATGCAAATGAAGATCTGTAAAGGTATCTACATATAATCAATGACTTTGGCAAAGGAATTAAAGGTTGTATATTCAGCTTTGCAGAATGTACAAAGCTAGGATGTACAGTAAATTGCACAGATGGAAGAATGACTAAAAGGAATTTGAAGAGGCTCAGTGAGTTGGATAAACCTGCTGATGAAGTTCAAAGTATGAAGCCATGAACCTTGGTGCCAAGAGAGACAAATCAATGTGTTTCTTTATGGTGACAGACTAGGCATTGCGGAATAGCAAAGAGATTAGGACTTCAGGTAAATCTCTAAAAGTTAGTGCACAGGTAGAAAAGTAACTAAAAAGGCTATTGATATGTTAAACTTTATCTCAAGAGGTCTAGAATCCAACACTGTGTAATTAATGCTGCAGCTGTTTCGAATCCTTGTCAGACCCCATCTGGAATAGTTTTTGGAACTGTACTCCTTTCTTTTCATTAAAGGCTAAAGAAGAAGTAGGATTTAAAGTCAAACAGGAAATATGGCTGATGAGGAAGTACTAGATCTTTGGAGAGAAACAGGAGAAGATAATTGAGGTAGATAATGGAAGTCATGGGCTTACCATTTCACAACTATTTTGGTGACTTTTTTTTATCAAAGTTAACTTTATAGGTAGAAAGTCTAATAAATGCTTTAGATGTCTGAAACATTGCAAAGTGTTTGGAGAAGATGGAATTTGCTGGTGCTAGCCTGATACCTGTACCTGAGAAGGTATGTTGTGATATTTTGTATTCACACATGTAATGACAAACATTTCAGTGAGAGTCAACAGAAAATGTTCAGTGTTCTTTTTCGTATAGCAAAATTGCAGATGTAATTTTTAGAAGTATATTTAACTAAAGGAAGTCATCCACTGATAATTTAGCTATCACTTGTAATGCTGTATTCCTGCTCAAGGAGCAGAAGATAGCTGGGATCCTAGGTGTGGCACAATGGCTCAGTGGTTAGCACTGCTGCCTCACAGCACCAGGATCCTAGGTTTCATTCCAACCTTGGGCAACTGTCTGTATGGAGTTTGCACATTCTCCCCATGTCTGCATGGGTTTCCTCCCACAGCCCAAAGATATGCAGGTTATGTGGACTGGCCATGCTAAATTACTCATCGTGTCCAGGGATGTGCAGGCTAGGTAGATTAACCACGGGAAATGCAGGGTTACAGGCATAGGGTAGGGGAGTGAGTCTGAGTGGGATGCTCTTCAGGGGGAGATATAGACCAATGGGCTAAATGGCCTGCTTCCACACTGTAGGGATTCTATTCCTATTTGCTACTCTAAGGGAGAATGAAAAAGGCACAACAATGGCAAAAGTTCAGATTGAAATAAATTGACAGAAATGATTACACTGATTGTACTGCTTTACCTGTCCTTCCAAAAATAGAGGATTCATTTGTTAAATCTCCGCTGTGAGTGACTATCACAAGCTTATACATTTTGCCTGGTGTCAGGTTCTGGAAGGAACACTCTTCAAGATTTTGAGTGCCAGATTTCCTGTCATGAAGTGTCTTGTCCGAATTGTAGAGGTATATTTCATAGGAGTCACATTCTCCCTCTGCTTTGGTCCAGTTGAATGATAGAGTCTCAACGCTGTTCTCATGCAACATCAGGTCTGTGACTGCAGCTGGAACTGAACAGGCAAACACACTGAGTAGATGCAAGGCAGAAATATGTAGAGCTTCATAAGAATAATTATGCATCTCCAACACTGACTTTCACTGTGAGAATGCAATGATTCTTGGGTTTGGTGGATTAAAGGTCCATTTTAGGAAGGTCTTGATCATAATTGTCCAGAATTTGTAAGTTATAGTGAACAAGTGGTGCATTGTCAATCGTATTTGGACTTGCTGACAGGAGCTTTGTGTGCTTTTTCATTGGAACTTGCAGTGATTAGAAAATCAAGACGATACAGCACAATTTACAAGAAATTTGCGAGTCTGCAAACAAGCAAAGTAGCATCCGATCACAATAAAAATTGAACAATCGAGGCATGTAGGGCAGAATGTTTAAAAGTCTTTGCGGTTGGGACCCAATGAGGATGTGATTTGAAAATCATGGCCCTGGAGATCTTGAGGGGTGGTGTGGGGAGAAGTGGGAATGGAAGACTAGCACTAACTAGCAACCTTTTATCCTCCTTTCAGAGCTTGTGAAGGGGTCCTGCTTATTGAGGAATGGAATTTATTTTGGTGAACTCAGTCTGGTGCTCAGCTGTCTGGCTCATCATGGGTCAAATAAAGTATGTGTCTTTGTTTTAAAACTGCTATTTCAATATCTACTTGCACTGGTGCCAACTCTGGACCTTCTTCCTGCATATTTGTTTATGAACCTTTTCAGACTTGCTTCTGGTGCTCTGAGGAACTGCACACACTCTTCAGCAGGGCAGCAGTAGGTCCCAGCAAGGCTGTTGTCTGACTCAGCCACTAGCACCAGATAGGCAGCTTCTGCTTCCCGGAGGTGCATGGTATCACTAACTAGGCACCAAGTTCGCCCCTTAGACAATTAGGTCATTTGAATTTAAAAATAACGTCATAAGAAAAATGCAATTGGGGCACGGGGATGGGACCAAGAATTCATCCAGCTGTTGGGTTCCCAAATTTGCTGCGAAAATCCAGTTTGATTTTCGTAGTCTGAACCGGGAAATATAAATGTGAATATTCAATTCAGCGTTGGGTCACGTATAGAAAGCAAGATAAAACTTTGGAAAAATAGAATTACCAGAGATAGAAAAGAGCCCGGAGGTTAGCACTGCTGCCTCACAGCGCCAGGGACCCAGGTTCGATTCCACCCTCAGGCAACTGTCTGTGTGGAGTTTGCACATTCTCCCTGTGTCTGTGTGGGTTTCCTCCCACAGTCCAAAGATGTGTAGGTTAGAGGGATTGGCCATGCTAAATTGCCTGTAGTGTTCAGGGATGTGTAGATTAGCTGGGTTATAGGGGATGGGTCTGGGTGGGATGCTCCGAGGGTCGGTGTGGACTTGTTGGGCCAAAGGCCCTGTTTCCACACTGTAGGGATTCTATTTAAAAAAAAGTGGTTTTTAAACCAACAGTAATAAATGCCTGTTAGAATGAGACTCCACCCTTGTTAAAGTTCATTTTCTGTGCCAAAGACGTTGTTTGATTATAATTAAGGCTGAATACATTGTTGAAAGGTTACCTATCTTGAATGGATAAGCCTTAACATTTCTTAATGCATTTATTGGGTTCTTATCATGTAGGTACTTGAACTTCATGTCTTTTAATGTGCTGAGTGCCAAATCTCTTGGGAAGATACTGTTACAGTAAGGTAACCAAGACTGCAAATTTCTGAATTTTTCTGTTTAACTCCACATATGCCATCATCAGAAATTGTTGTCCAATTTACTCTTCAATAGCAATAAACATTGACAACCTCGCTATTATGTTTACCACAAAATCTGGACGAGTAACTTACTTGGCATTTCAGCAGAATTGTTTCTGTGTCAAATTTTCTGAAATGCATTGTTCAATTCATTAAATTAGTATAAATAAATTTCAAACTGAATTCATATTTGAGAAGCTAAGAATGTCTGTGTATAATTTCTGACTTAAACTTACAAATTTAGAAGTCACTTAAGAATTGATTCCGGCAACAGCACTGAGTTACTTCTATTTGTTTTTTAATGAAATTATCTTCAGTTTCGCTCAACTACAATTTAAGATGTTTTCATTCAGCGTCATGTTTTACATTTGAAAGCATGCTTTCAGAATAACATTTTCATCTTTCATTTTTCAACTTAGATGCACCTAAGGCGTTGACATGATGTGGTTCACAGTTGAGGCTGCCCATAGCTATATCGAAATTCCTAAACTGTTTGCTTGGATTCTGGAGTTTGGTCCGGTACTATTCTAGCACAAAGTTTGGTGTGCTTACTCTGATCGAACCTGATGTCTAAAGGATAGTTCAGTTATGCTTATTTTCATTTTGTTCTTTCCTGTTGAGTCTAATTCATCCTCATGTTCTTAAAATGACTAGTGTCCAGTGTGAGCCTTGAGCAGTTTTATTGAACACATGGCAAGGAGATTTCTGAAATCTATAGATTTATAGATTTATATCAATAAATGCTAATATGTCTTAGCTTCCAATCAGCTTTACCAGTCAAACTGAAGTCTATGCTAAGACAATGATACACATGGCTGTTGAGGTTGAGCTTATACAAGCGAAATAAGCTTTAAATAATTTAGAAAATAAATGTATCTTTATGATAAGAAACTCTGCATCATAGTCTTTTGCACACATAAGATGAAATGGGTTAATAGGAAGACAAATAACCTCTTCTTCTGGTGCAATTAAACTTATTTGAATTAAATCTCTGCATGACCCAGTTACGAGAAAATTTCTATTTTCTAAAGAGCTTCTCAGGTATCTGTGACATTCAGAAAACTAATTTCATTCGATTTTTCCTTCATAGACAGTCATTCTTTCTGTTTTCCTCTGTAACAATAACGTGCAGTCTGAACTGATAATATGAAACTGTGAAGAGCAACAGCTGCCTTCCCTATGTAACATTAACATTGATAGTGTTCAAGAAACCATGTGCATTTGTTTCCTCACACATCTGATAAATGTGAAAGGCACTGTGCATAGGTTTAACTTTCCAAGCTACTATGTAAATGTTAGAAGTATCACATTTCAGCCCTTGTGTCTCTGCAATCGTTTTTGCAAAAACAATGAAAATGAACTAAATAGCTTACCCCATCCAAGGCCCCAAACAATCCTTTCAAATCTGGCAGAGATTCACCTGCACTTCATCTATCCTCATCTACTGTATCTGTTGCTTCTGATGTGGTCTCCTCTATACTGGGGAGACCAAACACAGACTCAGGGACTGGTTTGCAGAGCTCTGCACGCACCAACCAACCCGATCTATGGTTGCCATCCACTTTAACTCCCCCTCCCACTCCCCTGGTGACATGTCGATCCTTGGCCTCCTGTACCATCAGAGTGAGGCCAACGTAAACTGGAGGAACAACACCTCAAATTTTCCTTGGAAGCTTACAGCCCAAAATGGCCTGAATATTGACTTCATCAGCTTCAAAATCTCTCCTCCTCCATCCTGTCCGTCTTCTGACTCACCTATCTGCTCCACCCTTCTCACTGACCAACCACAATAACCCTCTACCTGCATCCACATATCTCCATTTTACCTCTCCTCCCCCCAGCCTCACCCCCTCCCTCTATTTATTTCTGGGTTCCCCTCCCCCTCCCCAGCACTGACAAAGGGTTTTGGCCTGAAACGTTCACTTTCCTGCTCCTCGGATGCTGTCTGACCTGCTGTGCTTTTCCAGCTCCACATTTACTGACTGTAGCTTCCAGCATCTGCAGTCCTTATTGTCTCCAAACCTCTAACGCTAATCAGGAAAAGCACACATAACTGCTGCCTAATAAAAATGAGTTAGACCAGTACGAAATATTAGGCGCTGTAATTTCCTTGCACAGTAGAGTGACTGCATTCTATACACAATGTTGTTGCCAGTGATAAAGTTCTTTTACTGTGTTCAAACCCAGCTTTCAAAGCTCACCATTATACTTAGAAATATTTTCGTCCTCCCAATCTCACTGATTTTTCTTAATAGTGAGGTTTGCATGCTGAAATCTAAAGGGTGCAACAATATGCAATGCCATCTGAATAGACACAAGTGCATTGTTACCATGATGGAATATTTGCAAGCCTATTTGCAGATAGTGACCCAATTATGTCTACTAGGTCACTCAGTTTGGTCTTGATGTGTCAAAGACTCAACCTAAACCTCCATACAAGAAAAGGAAAAGCAAGTATTTGACCCTCGGAATCCCAGATGTAATTTGTTGGTGAATTATGCAAACTGCTTTGAAACTTGCATATCACTAGTCTTCTCCTGAAAACAAAAGGGGAGCTAACTTTTTGTATCAAGTATTGTACCTGTTCTTCCCTCTCGGTCTGTTCCGATGCTGTACAAACCTCCACTTACAGTGAAGATACGAATCTTGTACTTCTTGCCAGGAGTCAGATCAATGAACTTATGGCCTCTTCTGGCAGCTGGCACAGAAACGTTTGCGAGCATTTGAGTTCCTTGTTCATTAAGGAGTTGCAGTGTATAACCCTCTGAGATGCCAGTGGCTGGCTGCCAAGAAACTGCCAGGGTGGAGGTAGTATGTTTGTTTTCAACAGATAAGTCTGACACAGAGGCAGGGACTAGGAATGAAAGAAAAATATAACAATTTTATCTATCAACTAATATAATTGAATATTCTACTTGAAAAATAAGTAAATAACATTGTGTTATCCTGTAATGAAAGAATTCACAAGGAAACACCGCGCTGAATTTTACTAGAAGTCAGCTAAGTGTCAATTTTGGTGAGTGTCATGGAGAGTTTCTCATGCTATTTCCTGAAACTCACCTCATTATCTAAGCACCGTGCCAGTATAGAGCCTGCTCACTATATCCTCCCTCTCGCCATTGGCAGAAATACTTGCCACCGCTAGGACCTCCAGGATTCTTTGTTTTCTCTTTATTCATTCAAGGGATGAGGGTGTTGCTGGCTAGGCAACATTTATTGCCCAGATGGCAGTTAAGAGTCGACCACATTGCTGTGGGTCTGAAATCACTTGTAGGCCAGAACAGGTAAGGTTGGCAGTTTTCTTCCCTAAAGAACATCAGTGAACCAGATGGGTTTTTCCGACAATGGACAATGGACTCATGGTCATCATTAGATTCCTAATTCCAGATATTTACTGAATTCAAATTCCACCATCTGTCATGGTGGGATTCGAACCCGGGTCCCCAGAACGTTTTCGGAGTCTCTGGATTAACAGTCCAGTGATATTACCACTAGGCCATCACCTTCCCCCTTACTGGCGCTAGCATCATATTTAAAGCCCAACTGGGTACCCAATTCAATGCTGTTAGTCTAGAGCTACTCTTGTGTGCATAGAGTCAGAGTGCAACCAAAAAACAAGTGCTTCTTGGGACACATGGGTGACATGGCTATCATTTCAATACACATACAAGGCCATATTAGACATCTATTGCTACTTAAGTACCAAACTATATAGCTGACCTGTCCTTAGCCTCACCCCATCTTAGAACCCTGTCTAAGGAATACTACTTCTTCAATGCTCAGTGTAGCCAACTACCTTCTCATTGTTCAGTGTGGGAGCTTCCCATTCAAAAAGTTAAAAGCATTGACTTTTATTCAGTAACATAAAAAATGAATAATAGAAAAAAGCAAACAACACTTGCATTTGTCTCTGGGAACAGACAGAGACGACTTGCTTTTTGAACAGCTACAAATTTACAGACACTGAGCGATCACTACACCCAACTCACATCTACTGGAGCCCCGTGTTAATTAAGTCCTGTCCAGTTTGTTGTGCCTGAAGCTGCAATGCTGTATCATGTAGAAGATGATGTTCCTCCTGATCTATACATCATCCCCAGAAGACTGCTGCTGTTATCACAGCTCTTCAGAGTCCATCACATCCTCAGGTTGCCTGCTCCAGTTGTTCAGAGCACAGCATGTAAGGACTATGTGGCACAGTCTGCTGGAGAGTATTGTAAAGCACAAGCTGCACCCCACCCCACCCCAAACGCCACCTTAACTGATCCAAGCATCAGGACCTCATCTTCAGCAGGCTTATTGTCTGCACCACAGTGGCCTTGGTTGAAGGATGGGCTGCACTGCATCTACATGTGGCCTCAGTCAGGGGTTGCATAACAGAGTCAACAGTTATGGTTACAGAGGGTAGCCCTTACATCCCAGTAACCATCCTTGTAAGCCATCCTGTGCTTGAAACAAACCAGGAATATAATATTTCTCAATGATACAGGCATCATGGGACAGATTTCTCTGATGTCAGATGCCTTGCACATTGATAGAATGGAACACTTTTCTATTGATGAAGTCAGCTGCATTATAATATGGCACTCTCAATGAAATGTTCGTCCAGTCTATAGTGTCTTGCACCTGGTGAAGCTAGCTATTTTGGTAAAGCCTACTACCCAGGTGTCAGCACTGATAACAAAAATGATCCTCTTGCTTCTCACAAGCAAAATTCTCCTCTCACTATACAACAGTTTTTTTTGGATAATGGGAATTCTTGTTCTCACTGTTGAGAATCACCTCAATGCCAATCTCAACCGTTTTCCCAAATTTCTCGCCAATGTCCACACTGTTCGGTGGCGGGGAAGGTTCTCTGCACTATGACTACAATTTCACTAAGCACTACTTTAAATAAAAGTATTTATTCATTCATCTTTGTTCAACTACTAAATCCAAAACTTAAAATTATGCTGAGTTAGTTGATTAAAACTTGGAAAATCTGGGGCCAGCAATCACTTTCAATGCCTTGCCCATTTCTCCAAACAAATGTCTTCCTACTGCCTATGATTTTCATTTTTAAACAATCTCTTGCTGGTTTTGGACAGCGCAGCTGTGAACCCATTTGAAGAATTCTCACTGAAAATTAAATCAGCCAGGCAAATAAGCGTCAGAGGTCCCGGTTGTATAAGGTAATGATTCAAGGGATTAATGTTCACAATGGCTCTGAAGACACATAATCCCTGGGTGGAGACAAAGTGTTCAACTCTAACTTTCAGAGGGAGCAGATGTATCTGTACCAGCTCCACAGCGTCCTTGTAATTTTCCCTGGCCAAATGTAGCTATACATATTGATAGCATTCCTGTTGTCTAAGAACAGGGCCTCTTCTGCAGATACTCTACAGTGCTGTATTGTTGAATAGCAATCAATAGATAGGTCCAGATAAAGTCAAAAGATGATTAATGGCAATGAAATAAATTACGTCAAAAAAAAACTCTTATCCAGCAATGCATACTGGCAGAAGAGGTAAATACCACACGGTGTCAACCATGGTCATCTGGAAAAGAAACCACTGTCCCCACTAGATTTCCCACTGCTAGTCCTCAATTTTCAAATATTTATAAGATATTCCAATCACTGCTAATGTCATCCTCATTTTCCATGTGTTTTCCCCTTTCTTCCAAACAATATAACCCAGGACACTCTGCCTTAGTTGCTCCATAAGGAAAAGTTTTTTTGAAGTGGACAGATTATGTAGCCTGACCAGGGGCACTAACGAGCAGCAGTGAGGAGACATTGGGTTGGAGGAGACAGGTACCACTCCACTCTCCTCAGATTTGGATCACCAACCCTTGTTGGATAGATCAGTGAAGGTTTCACCATTGACCACCTCCAACTAATCCACCTTTACACTCGAGTCAAGTGCCTCACCAACTCTGCACCAATTGGAGATTTAACAGAATCTTTTAGTACCCCATTGGATTCCTGACTTTCAGTCAGACAGACTTTTTCCCTCATCCAATAACTAGCCAACAGAAATTTTTAAAGAATCTCTTTTAAAATCAGTTTTGTTTAGATATCACAATGAACGTCAGCCACGGCCCAGTTGTTTGCACCTTTGACTCTAGGTTCAAATTCCACTTTCACGTTTAAGAACAAAAATCTAGCACAATAGCAACATTACAGATGCCATTCCAAGATGGTGGAGGAGTAGCAGGGCTGCATTTGGGCATCTGAGCCAAGGGCTTGTCCACTCCCATCTGATTTCCTTGTATTTTTTCTCTTTTTCTCATTATCTTCTCTTTAAAGCCTTCTGTGGCATCGGCATCAGCATCAGCACGGCAGCGAGAGTGGGCTGTTCGCAGAATCGAGGCAGCCTCCCATCGATTGGGATGGCGGTAGCAGTGGCAAAGCTCCTCTCAAAGATCGGAGGCAGTGGTGATGACGGCATCAGAATCATCAGTATATTCGTGACTCCTCTCGGCGACTGGGACTGTGGCGGCATATCTCCTCCCGGCGACAGGGATAGCGGCAGCAAAAGACTGCAGGCCGCAGCTAGGCCCAGATGCCTGCATCAGAGGTTCAGCATTCCATACACCTTTATTGACATGGGGCTCTAAGATCTGGGCATTTTTCTTTCTACAGATCTGGACAGTTTTCTTTCCTTTTTGGCTGTGTTTCTTTCATTTCTACTGCTGTTTTTTATTCCTGGTTTTTGTAACCAAGATGGTGCTGGAGAATGGTGACTTTGTAAACTTTCCACTGTACTCCTGTATTTCTATACTTCAGTACATACAACAATAAATTCAATTATAATTCTTTTGCATGAGATATTAGGCACAGGTCTTATTTGCCACTTGACGTGTACGTAAAATATCCCATTGCACAATTCTGTTGATGAACAGGGTCATTATCCTCTCTGTCCTGATCAACATTTATCCTTCCATCAACATTCTACAATTAAACACTGGTTACTTGGTTATTATCACATTGCTATTTGCGGCAGCATTCTGTGCTGCATTTCCTACCTTATAACAATGACCAAAATTGAACACTATTTCATTGGCTGAAAAGTACTTTGAGATATCCAGTATTCATGAAAAGTGTTATATGAATGTAAGTTTTTTTTTAATGATTGCTTTCAGCACTGTCCCAAAGATTAATTTCAATTCCTGTAGACTCCAGCGCAGACAAGAGGTTTGGCAAATCTGCATCAGATGCAAGTGCCCCCTGAATTTCAACTCAGTATTCTGTGCTATGCTCTGGCATTTGAAAAAAATTAGGGAATGAGAGAAATTGAAACCTTAGTGCACAGACAGTGAGGATGTTTATGGATAAATCAGTATTGAGGATGAATTTATCTAATCTCTCAATGCATTATTTAGTGCAATAGTAATCACAGGATTTCTGAGTAATTCTTACCAGTGCGTCCAAACGCTGTTGCATTGTTATGGAAGGTGCCACTAATTGACCGAACTAATACATGGTAGAGCTCTCCCGTCTCTAGATCATAAAAGGTGTGTTCATGCTGGTGTTTTGGAATAGGGCGGGCAGAGACCTGATGGCCTTTGTGAGATAAGATCACAGTATAGCTGTCCACGTCACCTCCTCCAGGAGACCAGTTCACCTTCAGGCCCTTTGTCACTCCATTATTTGAAACATGGATATTTTTAACTGCACTGGGTACTGCAGAAAGATACATTCAGAATATTAATAACTGCATGGTCATATGCTGCAGTAAATAAAAACAAGTAATTCTGGAAATACTCAGCAGGTCTGGCAGCATCCGTGGAGACAGAAACAGAGCTAACATTTTAAGTACCTTTCTTCTGATGAAAAGTCCTTGACCTTCATGTTGTTTTCTCTCCACAGATGCTGCCAGACTTTCTTAGTATTTCCAGCACTTTCCTTTTTTTATGTCAGATTTTCAGCATTTGTAGCACTTTAGTTTTCTGAAGTGTTCAAAAACTATAATTGCTTTCTAAGTAAAATCATCTAGATTTATTTTTCCCAACCAAAAAACTGCACACCTCTGTCTTCAAATTCCTCCTCTTATATTCTAGGCAAGTTCTTGAGAATATATCATATTAATTATTATTGAGTGAGAACAATGGTGACTTAAGAATTAGTTGTAAGTTATTTATATTTGCAAAACTTAATATATTTTCTTACAGGTATTTTATAGATTTTATATATTTTACATATTTTAGGATGTTAAAAACGTACTATTTATACATGGCAGTACAAACTAACCTTTAGTGCACATTATAGTACGGCAAAATAATAGGTCCTCACTTGACAAGCTAGTCTAATGCCGCAGGGTTGATTCTAATAGGTTACTGCCTTTTGTTAAGAGTTTATTTCTCTAGAACTGTGTCACTAACTGATCGTCTATTATTGGTCAGATCCGGTCTCAACTTTATATTAATAGAAATTTCATTACATGGCAGTCAGAATAAATGTTGTACATAAAATACTGGACACATAATAATCGGTCTCATTCTTACTTGTGCGTCCTTCGATGAAGGCAGCACGTTGTAGAGTCCCGATCCACGTGGAGACTAGGATTTTGTAAAGACGTCCAGGGGTTAAGGAAGTAAATTGATGTGATGTGCTGCTGAGTGTTATTGGAAGGAAAACATTCATGTCATTGAACAGGAGCTGAATCTCATAGCGATCCACGTCACCAGCAGCTGCTTCCCAGGTAACGTTCAGAGTATCTGTGCTCCTATCAGCCACGGTTAGAGAGCCAACGGCAGCCGGAACTAGTCAGACAGAGTAACATTAGCATTAGACAATTCAACAACACTACTGAAACAGGCTAGAAAACATACTTCAAACACATCAAAGGAAGGATAAATCTGATACAAAGAAATTTTCGCATTCATAAAATATAAATGTCAAACTTGTAAGGAAGAGAGAGACTAAAATGGTTTGGGATTCTGCATACAAGCTCACTGTTTCTACCTGCAGCTCTTTATCTGAAAAGCCTACAGTCATGATCAAGCTACCGGTCGAGGTTCAGTCTGGAAAACCATTCACTTCCCGAAATCAAGGTGATTTTACTCCAGGACATTTCCATGCAACAATTGGCTGCCTGGAGGACAGCGCGTTTAGATGGCTGAGAAGTGTGGACAGTGGTCCGAGCTACCCCGCAATAATAGGTGTGTTGCAAGCACACAAGCTAAAGAGGGGAAGAAAACGAAACATTTAAATTGGAGGAATTAAAGGAAAGTAACAACTGGTTCATTATTCATCTGCAATTTTTTTTTGTGACTCAACATATCCCAGCTGTTTCTTTTTTTCTGAAGGAGTTGAGACTAATCTGTAAATTTGTTACAAGATAATTTAGTGGAAAAGAGAAGTTGCGATTGAAGATCAGTCATGACCTTATGATATGGCACAGCGGGCCTGGGGAGCCAAGTTATCTAGCTGTTTCTATTTATCATGCTCTTGGGTTCCTAATCAAAGGCGAAATGTTGACTGACTCAGTTCAGTGCTCTAAGAGGATGCTATAAATCCAGCAGTTACTAATTTTCTTAAAATTTGTGTAAATGGAGCAAAGTATATTGAAAAAAACATGATGAAACACAATCCTTACTACATACTGACAGTCAATTTATTACAGTCCATCATAGCTCTTTACATAATAGATTAATAAGCATGTTATGAAATCAGACAAGGTTTTAAAAAAAAAGTCTTTTTGTATTTTTATCACTCTTGAATCACAACTTTTCTTTTTGACATGGGTACTTTAAGTTAATGCATTATCTAAAGGCACCTTTCCCAAAAAAGCCGCCCACTCCAAAATTAAAATCTGGCTTGTCACCAGACAAATAATTAAATTAAATTAACTTATGGCATGCACACACAGAAGCAAATATGTTGCTGCCAGAGCCATTAATATTCCAGATCAAAGAGTTTAACATTCATTAAAATTGAAATTTCAGTTTATTGCAATAAATTTCATGCTTACATGTTCTTCCAGTGGCAACATGATGAGATTCATATTTCCCACTCTTGGTGCTAACAGTGATGCTGTAAAGCCGTCCTGGAATTAAATTGAGGAATATGCATTCGTTTTCAGACTTTGGAACCTCTAAGCTTTTGCTGAAGTTGTAACTGTTTTTGATAGTTACTATATAATAGTCAAAATCCCCTGATGCATCCAACCAAGATACTTTCAGATAGTCACTTTTTCCAGAGTTGATAACTGTGATTCTTTGTACAACTGAGGGTTCTGCAAAATTAGAAAATGTTATAAGATCACTTAATCAAAATGCTGACGAAACCTGAACAGCTTGGCAAATAATTTGATTAAAAATAGTCTAGCACTCAGTAGAATGCTGTACATATAAATGTGAATCCCACATAAATTGTCACTTAACACATATCTAGATGTCATCGCAAGATTTGAATCTGGGTTTTTCTTTTAACTTTTAATAAGACATTCATGACTTTATTATCATCGTTATTGTTATTCTACTCAAAGTTTTCCAAAATCTGTCCATGTGTAAGATTATATTACCATAGTCTTACCACATCATAGGGCTGCTCTCTTTTAGAGAGAGATAACTGGTGGTGGCTTAAGTCGGAGGGTCACCACGCCTTCAGGGAGGGGAGGGGTGGAGAAGGGCATGTGGCAACCTGGGCTGGTGCAGTGATTGAAGCCACTGCTGTTGGCAATACTCTGCAGTGTCAAACCAGCTGTCCAATCAGCTGAGCTAAACCTGCCCCCAACAAGATACAATGCTAGGAACAAAAACAAAGTTGTTGGAAAAGTTCAGCAGGTCTGGCAGCATCTGTGAAGGAAAAAACAGAGTTAATGTTTCGGGTCTGGTGACCCTTCCTCAGGTCACCAGACCTGAAACGTTAACTCTGTTTTTAACTTCACAGATGCTGCCAGACCTGCTGAGCTTTTCCAGCAACTTTGATTTTTTTCCTGATTTACAGCATCCACAGTTCTTTTGGTTTTTATTAAGATACAATGCTACATTTTCACAAAGTAGAATTACTCCCCTAACTGGTTGCTGTGTTCAGAAAGTATAATTATTTTTCCTTCATTGTACTTAGCTGTCAGTACTTCTTTTTTAAATAAAAAATACTTTATTTTTTTAAAAAGTGAAAATGAAGAATTTTACTCCAGACAAGCAATTACTTCTTGGTCAATAAACCTGCCAATCCCTTCACAAAAGGAAGATTTTTTCAGGCAATGGGAGCCAGTCTCCTGATTGAGATGTTAGTCTACAGAATGTCAGTGATGAAGGAGTTCTTTCAGATACCTCAAAGATTCAGTTCCAAACGGAGAATTCCTGAGTAAAGCACACACAAGCACAAGGCACGTAGAGAGTGCATGACACATGGCTCAATGTGGTCTTTTGTTTGGATCTGTTGAATTTACTTTAGCCAAGTTCAATTGGCAGTCAATTTGAAAAATTGTTTTGAAATATGACTGTGGATTCAATTATTAGTTACTTAATGATATTGTTTGTTTCCTGAGATATTGTTCCATAAAAATTGTTCAAATACATCAAATTACACTTTCAGGAGCTGATAGTGAAAATTAGTTCTGTGGGACACTGTAGATTACAATATTTTAAATAAATTTTAACAGAAGGGACTCATGAGAGAAGGTAAGAAAGGAAAGAAGGTGTCACCTTGGGAGTGCTGTATAGCTGCCTTGTGAAAAAAAGACTTTACATGGTATATTGTCAGATGCCCAAGCCCTGGCAAAACAGCATGCAGACTCATGTTGCTGGTAGGTCACAGAGTAGTGGCCACACATGGGCCATTTGAAAATGCTGAACAGAGATCAGGAAAAGATGAAGAGTTGAAGTGTATACGAGAGCATAACTTCTCTAAGACAAAACCCTAATGTACATAAATCCTGAATTGCAAATTAACCCTAATTCACATCACAATTGGCAGCAGTGATCAACAGAGAAATAAACGAAGGATGATGCTTGACATCTTCAATGACACCAACCCCAGTAAATTGCGAAAGTTATAAGAATGTTTTACACACATACTGGTTGTCATTATTTGAAGGAATAAAAATTATATCATACGTGTCCGCTGTTGTGTAACAGTGTGGTTTTCATATCTCCCACTTCTGGTCATTACAGTCACATTGTACAGCCTTCCAGGGGTGAGGGAACCGAAGGGAAACTCGAAGCTGGTTTTGGAGACTGTGTGAGACTGGACAACTTTTCCATTGTGGGACAATGTCACAAGATAACTATCCACATCCCCAGATGCAGGTAGCCAGGAAACCAGAAGGTAATCATTGCGACCATGATTATTCACCATCACACTGGGCACACTTGAAGGAACTGAACAATGACACAGAAGAAAAATGTTAAAAGACATTGTTTCAAATATTAGGTGCTAAATCATTATTTAGGCATAATGTGTTTGAAGAATTCTCCAAATATGGTCAACTTCTGTTCCTTTGTTTCTATGTTCCCATGTTTTTTTTTCTTCCGATTTCGTTCTGGAATTTATACATGTGTTAGGATACAGTAAAGAGGAATTGACTAAACTAAACCATCATTGAAATGTACTGATTCAATGTTACGTTTTTTTAGAACCAGGAAAACCACATTTTGAAATTCCATGCTCTCCATACTTGATCCAATGAAAATGAATTAGGAACAATAATCATTAAAGTGCAGCCATAAGCTGGCCAGTTTAAATGGACCATAATAACAAACAATTTTATTATGTTTCAATCTTTGCTAGTCTATCAGCTCAGCAGCTTGAGATGGAACAGGTGAGCCAGGGAGAAAGTCACGCTGGGAGGCTGGTTCTGCATGGTCAATTGTCCATGGTATATATGAACTCTAGTGAGTCAAGTACAAAATGCCTGTCTGCTGTTTGTGCAAAATAAAATTTCTGAAACTGTGCTTTTCATTTAGTTTATTTAAACAGAAAATGAACTAAGGAACATTCATGTGATGAATGGTGCCTGATTTATAGATATTAAAATCATATTTAGCATTTAGATTTTAGAATAGTGACATTTGGAATTGGTTACTTTATTGAAGGGTTAAAAAAATCTAGGTCACGTAGTCCTCCAAAGCAATGACCTAGTTTTCCAGTATGTGTTTGAGAGCAGGGACCCCTGGAGTGTTAATGGAAGGTTGTTTCTCCTATGGTGGTTTACAACAGTTGGGGTGAACATGGAGGGCCATTAGTTTATTTGTGGTTCAGGATGGATTTTAGTTTAGAAACCTGACAGTATCAAATTTTTTGGGCAGTACAGAAGAGACTTGACAAATAATCTACGAGGGAGGCAATGGTCTAGTCGTATTATCTCTGGACTGTTAATCCAGAGACCCAGGTAATGTTCTAGGGACCCAGGTTCGAATCCCACCATGACAGATTGTGGAATATTGAATTCAATAAATATCTGGAATTAAGAGTCTAATGATGACCATGAATCCATTGTCGATTATCAGGAAAAACGCATCTGGCTCACTAATGTCCTTTAGGGAAGGAAACTGCCATCATTACCTGGTCTGGCCTGCATGTGATTCCAGACCCACAGCAATGTGATTGACTCTTAACTGCCCTCTGGGCATTTAGAGATGGGCAATAAATGCTGCCTAGCCAGTGATACCCTTATCGAATGAATGACTAAAAAAAAATTAACACTCCAGCGGTAAGGGTTCAAACTGACAGCTAGTAGAGTTCTGCAGGGGTCAGTGTTGGGACTACAACTACATTATACATTAATGATCTGGACGAAGGAACTGAGAGAATTGGTGCATTTGCAGATGACATAAAGGTAGGTGAAGGACAGGTAGTGTTGAGGAAGTGGGAAGACTACAGAAGAACTTGGACAGGAGGGGAGAGTGGACAAAAAAGTGGCAGATGGAATACGATGTGGGAAAATGTGACATTAAGGACTTTAGTAGGAAGAATAGAAATGGGGAAAGTCTTCAGAAATCTGAAGCACAAAAAGACTTGGGAGTCCTAGGTCAGGATACTTTTAAGGTTAACATGCAGGTTCAGTTGGCAGTTAGGAAGGCAAATGAAATATTGGCATTCATTTTAAGAGAGTGAGAATGCAAGAGCAAATATGTACTTCTGAGGCTATATAAGGCAGTGGTCAGACCGTATTTGGAATATTGTGAGCATTTATGGGCCCCATATCCAAGGAAAGGTATGCTGGCATTGGAGGGGGTCCAGAGGAGGTTTACAAGAATGATCCTGGGGATGAAGAGCTTGTCGTAGGAGGAGCAGTTGAGGACTCTGGGTGTGTGTATGGTGGAGTTTAGAATGATGAGGGGGGTCTCATTGAAACTTACAGAACACTGACAAGTCTGAATAGAGTGGATGCGGAGAAGATATTCCCACTAATAGGAGATACTAGGACCTGAGGGCACAGCCTCAGAGTGAAGGAATGAGCCTTTAAAACTGAGATGAGAAGGATTTATTTCAGCCAAAGGGTTGTTAATCTGTGGAACTCATTACCTCAGAAGGCTGTAGAAGCCAAGACATTGAGTGTATTTAAGATGGAGATTGATAGGTTATTGATTGGTAAGGGGAATAAAAGGTTACAGGGAGAAGGCAGAAGATTGGGGTTCAGAAACATATCAGTCATGGTCAAATGGCAGAGCAGACTTAATGCACCAAATGGCCTAATTCTGCTCCTGTATCTTATGGTCCTAAGGTCTTGTTGTGGTCCAGGGATCAGAAGGTAGTATAGTTGCTGTCCTAGAAAGGAGATTTTCCAGAGAAATTAAGGGAACTGTTACCTTAGTGGGAAAGTTTAATTTATGCAACTTCCAGACCAGGGGTGTTAGTTAGAAATCTGCAGGTGATTAAAAGCAAATCTGAAAATACTCGTGTAAGAAGACTTCACAGTTGACAGGAACAAAGTAGGAAGAATCAGCTAAATCAAACTGAAAGTTTTGACATAGAGGGGTAATTTCTCTATTTGAATCATTGCAAAGTGATAGTGTGGGGGAATACATGAGACTTTGTTTTGCTGTGTGTTTTTTTTGAACTGCGCTCTAAATCTAGATAGTTTGGGTTGCTATAGATGACACAGTGTGGAGCTGGAGGAGCACAGCGGGCCAGGCAGCATCAGAGGAGCAGGAAAGTTGAT